TCTCTACATCTCCTGGGGGCTTAAATTCTGAGTGTCCCCACTCAGTGCATCAAGTGGTGAACTCAAGCGAAGTTGATGGAGGTATGTGATGAGAGAGGAGTGTTATGCGAGTGTGGCTGAGGTGAATGTGATGAGGTGAGACTGGTAACTATGGCGCGCTAAGCGCGGGAAAGGCGCAGGCGTAAGGCGTCATAGGGGCGTGAAAGCGCGGTAGAACAGCGGAATGCGCGAAGTGACTCTGGTGTGTGCAAACACAGTGTAAGCGCGGGGATGCAATGATAGCAACTGGCTGAATGGTATGGAGATGATTGCAGTGAGGCGAGAGTGACATGTCTATGGCGCGTGAACAAGGCGACATAGGCGCGCGAAGCGCGGGAACATTCGCGCGTGCAAAGCGGAAGTGCGCGAATGCGGTATTCAAGCGATAGCGTGACTTCAAGACGATGTAAGGGTGTAAACTCATGATGGCAATCGACAGCTGATGATGCGAGTATGGCGCGAATGTGCTGTGTAAGGCGCGGGAACATTCGCGCTTTAGGCGCCTGAGGTGCGGGATGTGCGTGATAAGCGCGTATATCGCGGATGTCGCGTATGCGTCGCGTTATGCAGGGAATGTGAAGGGGCGAATGTCCAATGATCTCCAAGGCGTAGAAGGCGAAACTGTGTGTTTGTGAAAGCGGTCCATCCCATGTCCAAACCAAGTCCCCACTATGCGCGCTAAAAATTAGGTTGCTATGGGATTGAATGATATGAGTAAAACTATAGGTGAAAAAGCGAAAATGAAATGGTGAACTTTTGCGGATGTCCTGTCCGTCTTGTCTTCTTCATGCAACTATCAACATCTATGTCCTCCTATGCGCTAAGCGCAAAAAGCGCGCGTGAGGCGCCTAAGGGCGGGAATAAGGCGAAAGGCGCGAGAACGAGGCGCTATAGGGGACTATTCAAAGGTAAATGTGCATGGTGCCACAGCATGCGTTAGAAGCGAAAATAATATCCTACTGGGTTAGGTGGGCACGAGTCTATAGTTGTTTTGTTGTTTTTGTTGTTTTCTGCTAAGCGGATCTATGAGTATATATGTCAGTGTTTTATTAGTGTTTGAGGCGATGTAATGATGAGAAAAATGAAAGGAGAAAAGCGCTGGACAAAAACCAGGGTATAAAACAACTATATGCTATGAAAACACGGTATATGGTGATTTTTCGCGAAAAATGATGGTTGAAGCGGTTGAAGCGGATGAGGCGCGAGGCGAAAGCGCGTGAGGCGACAGTGTCAAGCGACAGGTAATGGTGTACTCTTCATCTTCAAGACTTTGCAAACAACTTTTTCAACCAGGTATAAACCAATCTTCTTCAAACTCGCGATAGTGACGGACTAGTGACTGGTGGGATGAACTCTTGCACTTGGTGGCGCCTATTAGGCGCGCGCCAAGGCGAGGCGAGGCGACAGTGGTTGAAAGGCGCTACAGCACGATAGGCGATAGGCGATGCTGGCGCGTTAGCGCATTTAGGCGCGAAAATGATTATATCCTCTGTATGCGCGGAGGATAGGCTGGAAATAGCGAAAATGTTTAGTGAGTGATCTATGTGCAGTGAAATTAGGCGTGAATGTGACGCGAATGATGAGTATGAATGATATATCAAGGCGACATAGGCGCCTGATCATGAATGAATGGTACTTGATATAAAATGAAAGGATGTTATGGACGCGATAAGCGAAAATGCGAAAAAATGTGAATAAGGACAGATGGTGCAATGTTAAATGTAATGATGGATATGTAGGCGGATGTATGTGTGTCAGGCGCGCGCCTAAGTCGCGCCTGAATGGCTGATTGAAGTATGGGTCATGATGAATGTGAGGAATGCAATTTAAAAATGATAAAGTGGTAAAAATGCGATGGAGGGAAAACTTTGATGTAATGATGGGCGCCTTAGGCGCGTGAATTAAGGCGTGAGGCGCGCGACTGTGGCGCCTGAGTGAGGGAATGATGGTAGCTTAAATGAAGGCAAAGGCGAAGCATTAGCAACTGATGAAAAACTCAATGAGAGTGAAAAACGCGAAATAAGCGAAAAAGGCGAAATGAGCGAAGGTTGAATATACAGTGCCTCAAAGTGCGTGACATGTGCAACCTCAGGCGCCATAGGGTGCACTGGAGGCGTGTCAGGGTCGCCTGAGACATGTTCTACTTGGTGGGTGGGGGGTGACTTGATACATGGGTGTTTGACTGGCAAGTGGAAGTCGCTGAAAGCGGAAAACGCGATATGCGCGGTATTGTCAGTAACAAGCGGATTTAGTAGAGACAAACTGTGGTTTGAAATGAGGCGCATTTTGGAGCTCTGTCACTGCAGAATGCTCCTGAATAGGCGCGCTAAAATGCGATTGGGGTTGAAGGTCATTGCTGATGATGGATGGCGTGATCTCATCTGGTAGCGCATTTGGCACGTTCGCGATAGCGGTAGGTTCACATATGTCGAGCTGGGGTGAAACCACTTCGTCCAACTGATCTTCTGTGTCGCTCTGATGCTCTGTAGGTTCGCCTACAATAGGCGCCTCGATGTGTGCTGGTGCGAACGCGATTTCAATGATAGGCAATGTTGGAGTAGGCGGAAGGGGAAGGGTTTCGCGTATTTCGCATATTGGCGCCATAGCTGCTGCTACTAGCTGATCTTGGGCGCGTTCTGGTTGCTGAGGCGCACCTACAGGTGGCGCTTCAGGGGACGCTTCAAGGGGCGGAAGCGGAATAGCGGAAATCGCGCTAGTAGGGCGCGTGTAGCGCTTAATTGCGCATTCTGGATACATGAACAAGGCGAAGTTAGCAAAATCTTCATAGGTGTTGTTACCTTCATAGCACTGGAACACCTCTCTCTCATTAGGCGCAGAATACTTCAAGGCATACTTGATAATGTCCTTATCTGACAGCCCAAGTGGTTGCGCGAGTCGTTCTACTGACTCCAGGAAGTTGACCAGTTGGGTGTAGTCACCTCCAAAACGTGGAGCAGCGCTGCAGGTGCGCAAAGGCATGCCAAAGGAATCTACTGGCGTGTTCATGGTGTGAAAGCGAAGGGGCGTAAATCGCGAATTTCGCGATTTAGGCAGAAAAGCGGAAAAGGCGGATATGCGGATGCGCGGAATAGGCGGAATAGCGAAAGGCGGAATAGGCGGAAACGCGATAATGTGAATACGGCGAAAATGTGGGAAGCGGATATGCGGATAGTGGAGTAGAGTGGAATGGAGTTGGATATGTGTGGATGTGCTGACTGATCCCCTCGTGGTGGGCTCCAGTTGAAGGATCTTCAACTCAGCTGAGGGTGCAGCTGATATAATTGTTGAAGGGAGGAAAATATGAGTGCGATATGTTCGTCCCTTAGGGGAAGCGGAGAAAGCAAATATCCACTGGTCAACTCTAGGGGGAATGCGCAAAGTGCGTGATAAGGCGAAAGCGCGGGAACAAAGGCGCTATAGGCGCGCGAAGTGCGGGAAAGTCGCACGTCGAAAAGCGGAACTGGGTGAAAGTGGTATGCGAGCGATAGTGAGATGGTAAGACGTGTACTGAGATGCTGATAAGACAACTGATGCGGATATGGCCACTAGAGCTAACTGCTACTAGGGCTTGCGATGATTTATTCAAAACATAATAAAAACTCAGAGATGGTGACTGTCTATGATGATGGTGGTCCCTGGTAATGTGTGTTGTGTAAAGTAAAAATGTGTAATGAAAAATGTGTACCAAGTGAAAATAAACATGGTACGATGTTGAAATAAATGATAAATGGAGAAATGCATACCTGGGAACTTGGTTGGACATGGGAAAACACAGTGGGAAGTGAAGTCAGGCGCCCTATAGCGCTTAGGCGCGGGAAAATTCGCCTAAAGCGCGCGCAAGTCGCGGAAGTGTCGCCTATGTCGCGTGCGTCGTGCGAACGTCGTGTTTATCGCGCAAGTGTCGCGTTGCATGCATATTACTGTAGACTCGACCTATGTTGCAATATATGCCATTGTGAGGCTACTCAGGATCGAGTCTCTACATCGTGATCCATCCGACTTACCAATACACTCCACTTAGACTTTGCTTATACTTTCGTACATAGCCTCGCACCTTTGCTTATTGATCATTCCGTTAGCTATCTGTAGTATATAAACCTTTGTATATGCGCTGTAGTAGATCAGTTCGAATATCATCTTAGATTGCACTCATTCCGTCTGGACTCTAAGTCCCTCCGTTATCTGTCCGGACTTGAGTACGCTACTCTTGTCTATTCCGAGACTTAGGATAGATTCCTACAGTCTACATATCCGCCTCTGTCTTCGGACAGTCCTCACCCACATATTGCAGTAACATATCTCCGTATTATACGAGTGAACGGATGTGCATAATATCCCGTATGATACGGGCCAGCGGACCATGGGCCGAAGGTAGATATATCCTCGACTGTGACGGATGGGCCAGGAGTGTTATTATTCCCGATGGAGACGGGTTGGCCCAGGTGGGGAATATGTAAAGTAGATGGGTGGGCCGATGGACATGAATTTTCAATAGACGGATCGGCCGAGGTAGTTGGATATTATGTAGATGGGTGTACCAAGGTAGATATGTATCAAATAGCCGGGTATATCAAGGGTGCTTGTTATCACATAGACAGGTGGGCCCAGATATATATCATATTAGACGGGTGGGCCGACGAATTAATATTATTTTGTAGACGGGTGGGCCGACGTATTGGTATTATTTTGTAGACGAGTGGGCCGAGGGAGCGGTGAAAGATTTATTATATACGGGTGGGCCAATGGTAGACATATATTGCATAGACGGGTAGGCCGACGTAGGGGTATATAATATAAACGGTGGGCCCAGGAGAATGATAATTGTAGACATGATGGAGCTCAGCTAGTTGTATATCATGGAGGTAATAATTCAAAGTCATCTAATGATGTAGTATGGCATGGAGCCTTGCAAAGGGGTGAAGTGGAAACTCGAGCGAAGTGTACCAAGTTCCGAGACCCGGGTCTCGACAAATGAATATGTGATGTCCAGCACACTTCCGATCGTCTGGTATTTCATTGAGCAATATATGATAATAGATCTTTGAAAGCCAACATCATCCAAGCCTACCAAATGCCAAATGCCAAGTTCCAACTACCGAAAATCAAGTGAAGTGTACCAATATCCGAGCCCTGACTATCAAATCCCGACAATCGACCATTGAGTCCCGACTACCGAGTCTTGAAACCCGAGTCCCAAAGCCCGAGATTTGAGTCCTGAAACCCAATGCCCGACCATTGAATCCCAACAATCGAGTATCAAGTCCCGACCAACGAGTCCCAAATATTGAGTCCTGACCATCGAGACCCAACACCCGACACCCGACACCCGACACCCAACACCCAACACCCGACACCCGACACCCGACACCCGACACCCGACAACCGACAACCGACAACCGACAACCGACACCCGACACCCGAGATTCAAGACTCAAGTTCCGACTATGGAGTCCCGGATATCAAAAATCAAGTGAAGTGTACTGAGATCCGAGTCCAACCTGAAGGATTCCTTAGGCTGGACTTCCAAACCTTTGGATTTGTCCTTCCATCTCTATCCAAGCTTAAGGATTGATTCCTTAAGCTGGACCTTTGCCTTTCTGGCACTTCCTGTCTTTCCAAGACTTATGTCTACTTCCTGTTATCTCCGACTCCACCTAAGTGTAGCCTACCTCTGTTTGCTTCTACTCCAGACCTTGTCCATGGTAGTCTTTATTCTCCTGTCCTATAATCCTGTCCACTCCTGCTGACCTCCAGACCTTTGGATCTCCGGACATCTTACCCTTCGGATATCAAAACCTTTGGACATTGTAACCTTTGGACATCATGACCTTCAGACATCATAACCTTTGGACATCTGAACATTCAGATGGCGCAACCTTCAGACATCCTGTCCTCTGGACCACTCCTCCTATCTGATCCTGCTTTGGACTCTGTCCCTTGCAGTCTCTCCTCCATGTGCTTCCATCTAGGAAGCTTACCTTCAGAAGTCTTATCTTCGGACCCTATGCAGCAGGTGAAACTCCTCCAGAGTTTCCTGTACTTCTCTAGAAGTTTCTATACTCCTCCGGAAGGTTCCTGTGCTCATCCAGAAGTCCTCCAGCACTCCATCAGAGTAGCCAGTCTCCGGAAGTCCTTCGGACTTCATTGGATTTCATCTGGACTTCATTCTGAAATTAAGGGTATGTACTTGGGAAAGGTGCAAAATAAAATATACTGACTACCAAGTGCTGAGCACTAAGTGTCGAGTTCCAAGTTCCGAGTTCCGAGTTCCGAGTTCCGAGTTCCGAGTTCCGAGTGCCAAGTGCCCCGATGCTTTCGGGTATTAACACCCAGATAGCCCTCGCTCTCAGGGGCCCGTCAGAATTTAGATCATCTCAAACGGATGTGATTTGAGTGAGATATGAGCAAAATACTATATACCGGGTGAATTTTGGCATCAGAAGTTCGATGCTTTCGGGCATTGACATGAAGATAGCCCTCAATCTCAGGGGTGTGGGAGAATTCAGATTGTCTCCTGATGTGTTGAGAATGTCCTACATTACCTCATATGTCCATGTGAGGCCATATGAATTCTGTGAACTCCTGACATTAAGGGCTATCCACATGTCAATGAACACAGTCATCTAGGCCTCACATTGAAATCATTGAAAGCATCAAACTCCTGATGCGAAAATATGATCCAAATTCTGAAGGACCCCTGAGAGTGAAGGCTATCTGCATATCAATGCCTGAAAGCATTGAGGCCCGACATCAAAATCATTGAAAGCATTGAACTTCCAATGCTGAAATTCACCTGATATATAGTATTTTGCTCCTATCTCACTCAAATCACATCTGTTTGAGATAATCAAAATTCTGATGGACCCCTGAGAGCAAGGGCTATCTGGGTGGTAATGCCCGAAAGCATCGGGACACTCAGCACTCGGAAAGCACTTGGCACTCGGCACACGGCACTTGGTACTCAGCACTTGGTAGTCAGTATATGGGATTTTGCATATATCTCACTCAAATTATATCTGTTTCAGACAATCTGAATTTTACCACACCCCTGAGATCGAGGGCTATCTACATGTCAATACCCAAAAGCATTGAGACCCGACATCAAAAACATCGAAAGCATTGAACTTCTGATGCCAAAATTCACCCGGTATATAGTATTTTGTTCATATCTCGCTCAAATCACATCCGTTTGAGATGATCTAAATTCTGACAGGCCCTTGAGAGTGAGGGTGATCTGGGTGTTAATACCCGAAAGCATCGGGGCACTCGGAACTCGGAACTCGGCACTCGGCACTTGGGACTCGGCACTCAGCACGGAACTCAGAACTCAGAACTCGGCACTCAGCACTCGGTAGTCAGTATATACATAGTATTTTGCAAATATCTCACTCAAATTATATCTGTTTGAGACAATGTGAGTTCTGCCACACCCCTGAGATCAAGGGCTATCTACATATTAATGCTCGAAAGCATCAAGACCAGACATCAAAAACATCGAAAGCATTGAACTTCTGATGCCAAAATTCACCCGGTATATAGTATTCTGTTCATATCTCACTCAAATCACATCCATTTGAGATGATCTAAATTCTGACGGGCCCCTGAGAGCGAGGGCTTTTAATACCCGAAAGCATCGGGTCACTCGGCACTCGGCACTCGGCACTCGGCACTCGGAACTCGGAACTCGGAACTCGGAACTCGGTTCTCTGCACTTGGCACTTGGTACTCAGCACTCGGTAGTCAGTGTGTGGTATTTTGCATATATCTCACTCAAATTATATCTGTTTCAGACAATCTAAATTTTGCCACACCCCTGAGATCGAGGGCTATCTACATGTTAATGCCCGAAAGCATCAAGACCCGACATCAAAAACATCGAAAGCATCAAACTTCCAATGCTGAAATTCACCCGGTATATAGTATTTTGCTCATATCTCACTCAAATCACATCTGTTTGAGATGATCTAAATTCTGACAGGCCCCTGAGGACGAGGGCTATCTGGGTGTTAATACCCGAAAGCATCGGGGCACTCGGAACTCGGAACTTGGCACTCGGCACTTGGGACTCGGCACTCAGCACTTGGGACTCAGTAAATCACATCTATTTGAGATGATCTAAATTCTGATGGGCCCCTGAGAGCATGGGCTATCTGGGTGTTAATGCCCGAAAGCATCAGGGCACTCTGCACTTGGCACTCAGCACTTGGTACTCAGCACTCAGTAGTCAATATATAGTATTTGCATATATCTCACTTGAAATTCACCCGGTATATAGAATTTTGTTCATATCTCACTCAAATCACATCTGTTTGAGATGATCTAAATTCTGATGGGCCCCTGAGTGTGAGGGCTATCTGGGTGTTAATACCCGAAAGCATCGGGGCACTCGGCACTCGGCACTCGGCACTCAGAACTCAGTTCTCGGCACTTGGCACTTGGCACTCAGCACTCGGTAGTCAGTGTGTGGTATTTTGCATATATCTCACTCAAATTATATCCGTTTGAGACAATGTGAATTCTGCCACACCCCTGAGATCGAGGGCTATCTACATGTCAATGCCCAAAAGCATCGAGACCCGACATCAATAACATCGAAAGCATTGAACTTCTGATGCCAACATTCACCCGGTATATAGTATTCTGTTCATATCTCACTCAAATCACATCCGTTTGAGATGATCTAAATTCTGACGGGCCCTTGAGAGTGACGGCTATCTGGGTGTCAATACCCGAAAGCATCGGGGCACTCGGAACTCGGAACTCGGCACTCAGCACACGGCAGAAAGCTTGATTGCAACACTGATGGCACTGAGGTGGATGAGGGAACACCTCCTGACAGTGATTGAATGCCTGAACACATCGGGGCACTCAGCACTCGGCACTCAGCACTCGGCACTCGGAACTCAGAACTGAGCACTTGGCGCTCAACACTTGGGACTCATTCACCCTGTATCTTGGATTGTGCATATATCTCACTCAAATCATATCTATTTAAGACTATCTAAATTCTGATGAATCCCTGAGATCTAGGGCTATCTGCATGTCAATGCCTGAAAGCATCGAGAGCCGACATCAAAAACATCGAAAGCATCGAACTTCTGATGCCAAAATTCAACTGGTATATAGTATTTTGCTCATATCTCACTCAAATCACATCCGTTTGAGATGATCTAAATTCTGACAGGCACCTGAGAGCGTGGGCTATCTGGGTGTTAATACCCGAAAGCATCGGGGTACTTGGCACTCGGAACTCGGAACTCGGAACTCGGAACTCGGAACTCGGCACTCAGCACTCGGCACTTGGTACTCAGCCCTCGGTAGTCAGTGTGTGGTATTTTGCATATATCTCACTCAAATTATATCTGTTTCAGACAATCTAAATTTTGCCACACCCCTGAGATCGAGGGCTATCTACATGTTAATGCCCGAAAGCATCAAGACCCGACATCAAAAACATCGAAAGCATCAAACTTCCAATACTGAAATTCACCCGGTATATAGTATTTTGCTCATATCTCAATGCGAGACAAAAGATTGGAAACAAAACTCAAAATTCGAAACTCGAAAGTACTGACTACCGAATACCAAGTACCGAGTACTGAATCTCGGGTCTCGGTACTCGGTATTCGGTACTCGACACGATGCTCGAAACTCATAAAACTGTTTCGAATCACCGAGTACTGACTACCGAGTACCGAGTACCGAGTACCGAGTACCGAATCTCGGGTCTTGGTACTCGGTATTTGGTACTCGACACGATGCTCAAAACTCGTAAAACTGTTTCGAATCACCAAGTACTGACTACCGAGTGCCGAGACCCGAGATTCGGTACTCGGGACTCGGTACTCGACACGATGCTCGAAACTCATAAAACTGTTTCGAATCACCGAGTACTGACTACTGAGTACCGAGTACCGAGTACCGAATCTCGGGTCTCGGTACTCGGTATTCGGTACTCGACACGATGCTCAAAACTCATAAAACTGTTTCGAATCACCGAGTACTGACTACCGAGTACTGAGTACCGAATCTCGGGTCTCGGCACTCGGTAGTCAGTACTCGGTGATTCGAAACAGTTGTACGAGTTTTGAGCATTGTGTCGAGTACCGAGACCCGAGATTCGGTACTCAGTACTTGGTGGTCAGTACTCGGTGATTTGAAACAGTTTTACGAGTTTCGAGCATCGTGTCGAGTACCGAATACCGAGTACCGAGACCTGAGATTCAGTACTCAGTACTTGGTATTCGGTAGTCAGTACTTTCGAGTTTCGAATTTTGAGTTTTGTTTCCAATCTTTTGTCTCGCATGCCGAGTGCCGAATTCCGGGTGTCGGGTGTCAATACTCGGTTCTCAGTACTCGGTACTCGGTGATTCGAGTCTCGAGACTTGTGACTCGTGATTTACAAATCGACATTTGAAACTTGTGATTTCTGAGAACAATGTGTATTATCTTATGTATTTCTGTACTCATTTCACCGACTACCGAGTGCCGAATCTCGGGTCTTGGGTCTCGGTATTTCAAGACAACAAAAATGTATATCATCTTAAATTTGAATTTTCTTAACTCGAGCCTCGAAACTCGTAAAAATGTACAATACCTAGGCCTATCTGTCTATATGATATGTATCTGGGCCCACCCGTCTATCTAATACATAATTCACCTCACCCTTGGCCCACCTGTCTATCTAATATTACCCGACGTCGGCCCACCCATCTATGTAGAATTCCCCACATCGGCCCACCCTTCTATCTAATATGACCCCACGTCGGCCCACCCGTCTATGTAATAAATAATTCCGCTCACCCTTGGCCCACCTGTCTATCTAATATTACCCGACGTCGGCCCACCCATCTATGTAGAATTCCCCACGTCGGCCCACCCGTCTATCTAATATGACCCCACGTCGGCCCACCCGTCTATGTAATAAATAATTCCGCTCACCCTCGGCCCACCCGTCTATCTGATATTACCCCACGTCGGCCCACCCGTCTATCTAATATTACCCCACATCAGCCAACCCGTCTATGTAATAAATAATTCCCCTCACCCTCGGCCCACCCGTCTATCTGATATTACGCCACGTCGGCCCACCCGTCTATCTAATAAATATTTCACCGCTCCCTCGGCCCATCCGTCTACAAAATAATACTAATACGTCGGCCCACACGTCTATATAATACTATTTGCTATACATCTCTCCTCAGGTCTATAATATATGTCAATCCTACTCTACATATTACCCACATGGGCCCACCCATCTCCATAATAATATTTTCTCCCGGCCCATCCGCTATCATCGATGATATATATAACATTAGCATAGATGGGCCCACCCGTCTCCATCGGAAATAATATGCCTCCCGGCCCACCCGTCAACATCGGGAATATACATAACATCGGCCCATAATCCGCTGGCCCGTATTACACGGGATATTATGTAGGTCGGGTGACCCGTATAATACGGGATTTGTCACTGAAGGGGCTCCCTCACCCGTTAGTTTCTAGTCCGGATCTGATCCGGATTAGCCGTTACTCTATACGTTCAATATCCGGAAGTCTTAACGGATCCGTTGCAATACTTATCCGTTGCGATACAAGACTTATCCGTTACGATACTTATCCGTCTCACTAGACGCGATACTTTAGCTCTCTGAAATAAGGGGCAAGACTCGGGAAAGGGGCACAGCGCACGAGCTGAGGCCGAAGCCCTTCGGATCCGATACTACTTGAGTACGGTCTTAACACGTAAGTTCATTATTTATCACACTTATGTATATCTTGTTGTACATGCCGCTCATTTTTTTGCAGAAAGCCATGGTAAAGCTGCACTCCAATCGCTTGTGCATGATCACAAGGCCGAATACCTTGCCCTCTCGGAGGAGGAGCAAGCTGAATTACTTGCTGAGTTCACTGAATGGAAGAAGATGAAAGCTACCGGTATTCGTACCTCGACGAAGTTGAAGATAAACAATATCACACAAACCTTAAGGGCAGTGGAAAACGAGGTATGTTCTTTGTTTGTTTCGCTTAAATTTATCTTACATAGCCCCCAAATGCTAGCTCATCAGTCTTAATTCTCGTACAGGCGCGGAAACTATTCTATACACAATGCGTGGTTCTACCGATCTTACCCTGCAAGCCATCACATTTTCCACTGATGGTGTCGAAAACTTTATGGGTACTGTCATGGGGGTTGACAAACAAGATCTAGTCAGCAAAATGGAAGGCTTCGCAGTACAAGGGATGCAAGGTTGTCCTGCCCAATAGTATCATGTTCTCTGCCTAATTATATTCAGGTTCTGCTAAAAATCACAAGAAACGCATCTCCAATAAATGTTTGGAAATCCGGGAACTCATAAACAGAAAACTTTGTTAGTATTTCATTCTAACTTCATCACAACTGTTTGACTGAATTTAATCTACAGAGGAGGCTACTGGTGACACCAGCACAAAGATGCAATGGGCTGATTATTTCCACAATATTGTTCAGCGGTACCAAGTCATTGTGGAAGGCTGGCCCGAGAACATTCCATTTACAAACCTTGTCCAATCGTTGAGCGCTCTTGCAGACCTTGAAATGCTTTGGCACAGGTGGGACACTGAAAAAATATACTGGAGGGCCTTGAGTGATGAGGAGTTTGCGCAACTCCACAAGGAACATGAAGACAAGCTTGAGAGCGGCAAACTAGTTGAACGTCATTGTCGAACGAGATCAGACAAAGGAAAGAAACGCAACAATGCAGATGCAAGGAAGTCTACTACTCACCGCAAGCAGTACAAGAGCATGGAGACCATCGCTGATGACGACAGCGACAGTGGTATGGAGGAAGACGAGCCCATTCATGAGCCAGCAGCCCCGTTTGGTGATAACAGCACGGAGATCGTCACTGCTGATGACAGTAACAGTGGTATGGAGGAAGACGAGCCCATTCATGAGCCAGCAGCCCCAGCTGGTGATGTTGCCACTGCTGCTTCTGCTTCGGCCTCTGTGGATCCATCTTATCAGCCTTCAGACAATCTTTCTGGATCCTTCACTAACAATTTCGGCCTTCCTGACTTTGACTATAATGTGATGTTGGCCCAGTTAGATAGATTGTATGGCCCTCCTCCTACATCATTGAACTCATTGTTGTAGTGAGAAATGCCTTGTTTTCCTTTGATAGTTGCTTTGCATAGTTCGTTTTTAGTTTCACGCAGTGTCGTTTAGCATTTGGTAGAGGTAGCATAGTTGCTTTGTGTAGTTCGAATTTAGTTTTGCATAGTGTCGTTTAGCGTTTGGTAGAGGTAGCATGTTTTGGACATAATATATTTTGATGTGCGCAGTTCTAAGTCCCTAAGATGATACCCAGGTCCACCAAACAATATCCTCCCCCCCAACTACTATGATAATCCAATAGAGCATGTAGGTTAGCGCGTTGAATATCACCGCTGCCGGCTACCTACCAGGACATGGGATTGGTGCTGTCTCCCTTGAAATTTGTGGGAGATGACTGAATTTGAGAGGCCCTTGAGCTTGGAATGACCTCCCCTGCGAGACATGAGGGGCAGGGGAAAGCGCTGACAGGAAGGATGCAGCAAAATCAGTAAGGGCACACAGACCACTCATAGAAAAAGGCAGTAAGGATGTACAGATCACTTGAGTGCTGGAGTTTTGAGGGATAGAGCCTGTTGTAAAGTAAGGCAGGAGAAAGCGCTGACAGGAAGGATGGTAAGGGCACACAGACCACTCATACAAAAGACAGTAAGGACGCACAGACCACTTGAGTGCCGAAGTTTTGAGCGATAGAGCCTGTTATAAAGTAAGGCAGTGGCCTCTATGTCAGTTCCCAGTGTTGGAGGATCCAGGGAGGACGTATGCTGACAGCGAGGATGGGAGATATGATGCAGGGTGGTGTTGGAGGTGGTGGCAGCGCACAGACCAATTGAGCACTGGCAATTTGAAGGAGCTAGGCGTTATATAGTATGGCCCAATGCTAGAAAGGTGTCCACTAGGCTCTAGAGGTGGCGTCAATGTCCTGCAGTAGGCAGCCTGGTGTACAGATGAGGGGAAAGGTCATGGGAACCCGACAAATCACCTATTATGACAAAGAAAGGCATGTTGTGGGGAATGCCAGGGTTGAGAGGACAGGCGGGTTACGTTCCTGGGGTGGGGCGCTAATACTAGTAGGGGGTGGCTTAGTACTAGCTAGTGATGTTCCGGCCCGGCTTGGGCTCAAAGCCCCGGCTTAGGCTTGGCCTGGAGGGGCTTAGGCTTGCCAGAATTCAAGCCTGAGCCATGAGCCCAAGCCGGCCGAAAGCCGGGGCTTGGGCCCAACCAGGCCACGGCTTGACATAGCTAACAGAGAGCTCGAGAGTCGAGACCAGTACTGTGACATTAGTACAGGCTAATAACAACAAGCGAAGCACAATGACAATATATCTAAATGTCCATCTCAATGTCCGACATGTCCTCATCATCATCACCCAAAAGAAAAATGTCCCAACCTTCTTCGTCATCCCCAGCATCACCAGTCTCCACTTCTGCGTCTGCTTCCACCTCTGAGTCATTGTTGTCCAGGTGCTCCAACTCGACGAGAGATGATGGTTCAGGCTCCCGGAACAGAAGATCACGTCGGAGTGCACATTTAACACACTGGAGTGCTTCGACGATGTCAGCCTTGAGCCGGTTGCGCCGCTTGGTAATGGTGATGCCACCTTGCGAGAATGCCCGCTCACTCGAGACTGACGATGACATGATGGACAGATAATCCCGCGCAAGTGAAGCCCAAACAGGGTACCTCTGTGCGTTTATCTTAAGCAAGATTATCATTAGCGTGAAAATTTTGAGTAGCAAAAAAAATACATACACCCCACCATTGAATGGTAGACATGCCAGATTGTAGAGCCGCTTCAACCATCTCGAGGTAGGCCAAAAATTCAGCCCTCCATGGTCTTGTTGGGTCACCAATTGAAGTAGGTGCTGGGTTGGTCGACGAATCATCCTCAGAGTCACTGAGGACTTCACGAATTAACTTTTTGAGGCCGCCAGCTCTGCTCTGCTTAGTTGTGTGCTGCGATGTCGATGTTACTCGGTTCAGCTTGAGGTAACGGGCTTGGAACTAGTAGTAACACATTGAGATTAACTTGATGACCGAAAAAACTGAACAAAATGACTCACCACTGTTTCCGCAGTAGAAAGCACATTGTCATGCAGATTCTCTGGCCAATGCTTCTTGAAGTACGCCATCTTGCCTGTGGGGTTGAGTACTGAAGTGCAAAAGTCAGATTCACAGTGGCCGTTCATGAAAAAATAAATGTACACATTGACAGTACATATGCAGCAGAGTATGTTGTCTTCTCATAATACTCATCTACTTTTGCTGCTGCAGTCTTTGAGTGCGGGAGCAAACTGCACGTATTTTGACCTTTCTGCACAGCGATGACCAAGCCTTATAGAGAGTTTCGAAGTGCCGGAATTGCAAGGTGTAAGGTTGAACCTTGTTCAGGATGAGAAAGCTTGTTGGGCCACAGTCAGCGTACTATAAAACCAAGATAAGTAGCAAGCTTCAAATAAATAGAAACTAACTGTACTGAGAGAAGATCGGCAAACTGCCCAACGTGTGTCCATTCAACTTCTGACAGCTGCAGAAAGTCAATCTTTGCGCGTCTACTCAAATCACGCTCTTGACAACCCATCTCATATACGAAAGTGTCGACGTGTTCCTTATTCATCTCCGCACGGTTGAGCATAATATAAGTCGAGGACCACCGAACCTTCATGTCAATCAACAGTTGCATTGGCTGGGACATGCCTCCCTTGGTTTGAACATTCCGGTACAGCTCCTTTCGTTTTGCAGAGGAACGTTCCTTAACACAAATGCTATGCACAAGGCCGATCTCATCTTGATTGGATGGCTCGTGAGCTTTCGGGTCATGGGGGTTGTAATGAGGGGACTTTGCTGTACTGAGCTGATCAAGGTCTGTGTCGCAATATTGATAACATGAGCTAGGCAGCTATTGGGATTGTCAAATGAGTGATTTCGTTAAGTAAAAATGATCATAGCACGTACTTTATTTTCTGCTAGGTGCCAGGGAAATTCCTTCTTGTATTTAGCCTCATATAGCCTTGCGAATTCCTGTAGGGTGGTGCCATTGTTTGTGGCATTGTCGCAAGTGACATGTCCAAGCTAGAGTTTTATAAGACTACCAAATACACACAGTAAACCTAACTTACCTTGTGCGTGACACCAACATGATCGAGGATTTTAAACAAAGCACCACCGAGACGCTTGCCTGTGTGGGCATTATTGACTTGAGTGAATCCGAGCAGCTGCACTTTCGAGTTCCCATTGCATGGTAACTCTTCTCTTCAATCCAATGTCCTGTGACGGCAAAGTAACCATCAGCATTTTCGGCCTGCCATGCATCAAAGGTAGTATTGATGTCGCCCTTAACAGTGGCGCTCTACATAGGTGCACATCAGTTGAGTAGATAGCGCAATATCATAAATATTACTTACATTGAGTGTGTTCCTGAGTCCCAGTAAGATGAGTTTTGAATGTTCTCATTATTTCTGCACAAGTTGCCTTTCTGCCTGGAATTTTGACGCCATTGGTGGCTCGAGCTGGCGACATCGATCATTTCTTTGAATTTCGGATGTTTCGAGTGCTTGAATTGGCTAGATAAAGAGACTGTTGATTCAATTCTGTAGGAAGAGAGATGTAGTACCTGGTCAGTAGCCACAAGCCACTTGATTGCGGCCTGTTTGAATAACTTATCCAAATATGAAACCACTTTTTCAGCAAGTTTCCACTCAGTCAGATGCGCATTAATGCTCTGCTGCGCGGCATTGTCCTTGCGGGCCTTGACGTCACCAGGAAGCATCGACTCGAACAAATGTTCTTTGGCCCATTCCCGATATTTGCCAGAGAACTTTGCCTCAGCATGACGATGGAGGGTAGATATTTCGTTAACAAGAATACATGCTTTCCTATTGAACATGCATCAGCATGAGTATGACTACAAGTGAGCAGACCTACAGGCACATCTTGCACTTCCTGTGCTTTTTCACCTTCCCATTGGCCCCTGTGTGATCAAAGGTAGCACCAAAAAAAGTGTCGATATTGGCTGTTTTGGCTTCTCACGTCAACACTAACACTGGTTCCACAAGAGATTGAATGTCGACATCAATTAGAATACCATCAGCATCAACCGATTCTTGTTCGGTTGGGACAACAGCCAATTTGCGCTGCTTTCGAGGCTTGGGATTAGTACGTGCGTTTTCACGCTCATCATCAGCAGATTCTCCATCAGAGGAGTCTTCAGGGTGCACCCTTTTGCAGGTGTTGACAGTAGATGGTGTTGATGGCATGGGAGATGGTGATTTTGCAGTGTCAGTGGGGGATGAAGTGGAGATATGTTCAATGGCACGCTTGGCAGCCTCTGCGGCATGGAATTCGTTAATCGCCTTGGTTTGGGATGGCAGTGCCGCCTTCTCGGCATGCTGAAGAAGGGTGGCTGTGGGTTTCGTTCTGCATACAGGACGTCCAACACGGTGCTCGGCGTCTGTGCTTGTCATGGGTAGGTAGCAGGGAGGGATGTTAGAGGGACACATACCAACATAAATCAATTGAAAGATATTGGGTGCGCAATCACACTTGCGAAGGTAAAGCACATAAGGCTTCAAATTTACCAAAAATCTTGGTTTGTGCAACTGAGATCTGGTTTTCCGACAGCAGGGTGAGTTATATTGAGCTCGCGAAGCACTGGACATAGCACTGATAGCTCACCGCGGCTGTTTCGTAGCAACACACAAGAGATAAGGAGGATAAATTGCTGGATATGTTGGACAATGCGGGCTTTTTGACTGCGATGTGAGTAATGTCGACCAAACCGAATCACTGCGACATATGGATCGTCGAAACTGATAATAGATGCAAGTCAGAAGCAGACAAAAATAGAGTCGGGAAAGGTACCTCCGGTGGGTTTCTATGGCAGTGCCACTGAAGCCAAAGCCACGGCTTAGGCCGCCGGCTCAGGCTTTTCGAAACGCAAGCCCAGGCCCAAGCCGTCCTCAGGCCGTGACTTAGGCCTGGGCTGGGCCCGGCCTATTTGGGCCCGGCTTGGGCCGGCCCAGGGCTTGAAGCCGGGCCGTGCACATCACTAGTACTAGCTAGTAGGTAGAGGTAATAGATGATTTGGGGCGTGGTTTAATGCTGGTGTCGAGATTTCACTACATCTAAGCCTAATTATAGTTGGCGAGGCACGCTATCGCCAAGCCTAGTAAGGCTTACCAATTGGGCTAACCCGGGCCAGGTGAATATATCTGATATCCACAACAGTCTACAACTTGTATAAGCACGAGATCCCGCCGGCGATGGCGTCCGCCACGTCACACTGTCACGATGTTGTTGCGTTCTGTCTCTTTCCGACAGCTCTTTCCGTCTGCTGCGTCATGCTGTGTTGTTGCGCATCCACTGTGCTCCGTCTCCTTTTTGCAGCTCTTTGCTCAGCACCATGGCGACCTCTGCTTCATTTCACGGCGTTGTCGGTCTTCAAAACGTATCAGATTGATAAAAAGAATTTCTGGCGCTATGACGGATTTAATATCAACAATCACCTATAAAAGACTGAAGGCGAGTACTACTACTAGTAGTCCTTGTCAGACCAGATTGATGCGGAGATCCGGACTTCGACCTTTCGCCCCGTTCGCCCCATTTGTGTCATTCATGCCATTCGTAATCAGTTTGGATTTTCTTCGCTTACATGTGTGCATCTTTTTGCTCTATATCGGAGGAAAAATTGTAAGGAAGATCTCCGCATCAACCACTCAGAGATGGGTGAGTATTGACTTTATGAACTGCACGAAATCCGAAGGCCTTGGGACAACTAGGAGATGAATGTGACTCTACCATCGCTATTTCTCACTCCTCAACTACACGAGCTGCGCAGCCCAGCACTTCGCACTGTTCCCACCGACTCTTGGTTAAATTCTACGCGAGTATACGATCACCGAGCTGCACCTGACTCTCAATGGTGGAAAATGGAATTATGACAAATGGGGTATCCTCATGAGGCCGGGATTGACACTGGAGCTGAGCTATGGGCTCGGGCGGGCGCTAGTGAGGTAACGGCGTGTGTATACTCAATGACTAGCTATGATCATATTCACTCATTCAGTCTGTCAGAGTGGATGAATTGGTCTGGTCTTTGAAACGCACGTTTAGGACTCTTTTACGCTTCTCTTGGGTCGCTGGATTCCAGACGAACATTGTCACCAACGGTCGTCTTCCCTTTAACCGGGTCTACTCCTACTTTTGCACCACACAAACTTCAGCACGCCTCGCTTCTTTCGGAGAACGTTTTCACGGACAATATAACACCCTTCTTGAAGTTCCTTCCGTGCAAGAGCCATGCAGGACTTACTGCACTTCTCAATCTTCAGAAGGTGTTTGATGCGGACTGGCATGGCATGGTGATTCATGTGATACGGAAGGAAGACGTTGGTGTGGAATTAAAACTGACCTTACAAACGGTGTCCAATCCAGCATGAACTACCGCAGGGAAGAGACGAGATGAGTCAGTAGCCAATTTATGATATAACCATCGCTGACGATGTTGACAGACTGGAATCTTCAATCACTGTTTGATCGCTCCATTGAACGATCATACCCGGTAGCGAGCTCCAGTTCAATCACTGTTGTTCTACCGGAAGAAGGACCATCAAATCTGAAAATCCCTCCCGTGTCGATGGTTTAGTCATTTATGACTTATCATCCTGTGCGTTGTACAGGTATTTGAAATCCCTGCAATGATTTTGAACTAATAACGTGTCAAAGCATCTAATTTCATAATTCCGTCCAACATTGGCATGTACTGGCCGAGCGAGCATAGCTTCCAGTATCGCAAGTCCCTCTCTGACTGTACAACTAGCTCACTGATGATCCATTAATGCAACCACTGCCACCATTAACACCGGTCACCCAGCTCAGTGTGAAACGAACAATTCTTGGTACAACGCAAACACGAGGTGTTCTATCTGTTTCTGCGACCAACAATTCTCCTCAGGAGATATCGGCAGGTTATCTGGAGATGATGCCTGCACTCCTCACGCTATGGATGCACACTCTGAAAGTCAAAATAAACTCACAGATACGGAGTATGACTTTGGCCATAAGAGGATTGTCTTTGCTGATTATCTTGTACATTTATGCACTTAGTTTCAGAACTAAAATAGCTGCAAGCTGTCCTCACAATTCCACCAAAGACCACGCTCGAAATTTCCATGGAAGTCAGGACGCGAGGTACCACATCCCTTCCACACCTTTGCCTCCCGCTGACAACTCACAGACGACAGCCCACACATTTTCTTTTGCATTTGCGCTATTGGCTTTACATCCTGATAAGCAAGAAGAAATGTACCAACACATCAAGCGTGTACTGCCTGACGGAAGAATCCCTGTACGGACCCCTTGAATTACAGACAGCTATACAAACAGGCTCACAATGTTTTTGACAGACTTGTGATGATATGCCGTCATTAGCCTGCTCTTCTGCGTCAGTTTACCTCTAAATAGACCGGGTTATGGGCTGACATCGTGGCAGCGTGTTCAACGAAGCACTGCGAATGTTCCCCCCTGTATGTTGGTGGAGCGAATGTCTCTGAGCGGTTTGTTAACTTGAGGTGCAGGTTTGCACTGTGCCAAAGACAAGTGCCGAAGACACGACTTTCACCCTCACAGATGCGAACGGGACACTGAAAACGGTCGTTGTGCCTAAAGGATTGGGTCTTACACTGGACGTGCCTGGGCTTCACTATAATCGTAAGATTCTTTCCGGATGCAAAGAGACGCGATAACAACCTGGCGCATAATTGCAGCTAAGTACTGGGAAGATCCATTCACGTTTAATCCCGAACGATTCTTGGGTGACTGGAACCGAGATGCATTCCTCGCATTCAGTGGTGGTAAGTGTCTTAACATCTTGCTCAGATCGAATTTGAAGATGCCCATATCAATGAAGGTTACAGAGGTTGTGTAGGAAGAAAGTGAGCATATTGTCATTATTCTTTGGTCATCCATTTGAATTTGCTCAGGTTCTCGGAAACCGAGGGAGCAGCTGTTCTCACCATTTTAATCTCACGATATGTCATTTCGATCAAGGACGAGCCGCAATTTGCTGGTGAAACATATGAGCAGCGCAAGGCGAGAGTACTTGACGCACAAAGTATGCTCACTCTGGCGTACGTTGAACTTTTACTCCAGTAAGATGAAATGTTGATGGATGTTTAGACCAACCCGCCTTCCCTTGGTGTTCAGACGGAGGACTTAAAGAGATGATCCGGGTCCCTGACTCGCCAGAGGAGGGCTTTTACAGGCTACTTTGTTTTTTCTTCGACGTTACTGATTAGCTTATTGTCATCTTCCTTGAGGACATTAAACAAATTTGGATTATTCTTTCGTCAAATGCGCCAGACATTGTTGCACAGAATGTATGCTGTCATGAGTGATTTGGTAGGTTGAGAACCTGCTTCGTTTTCGTCGTCTTGCGAGAAATTTCGGAGTGCTCTTATGTCTCTTAGTGTCATCCTTCGTCTGCTCGCTTAGGCAAGTTCCCTGGGCTGTCAATCTCCTGCTACTCAGTCCCACTTCTTCAATGCAATGTGCAAAGACAGATGGCCGGTTGCACCGCGGACAGCGGGTCGAGATGTTCTGCTTGCAAAGATAACATGCCCACTCTGGCAGACAATTCATGCCAGTACCTGTACACTCGAGGAAAATCATGTAGCGGAAAATCGCTAAGAGATCACCATAACGTATTGAAATTAGCCGGGCAGCACATATGCATTACAGGCAATACAATTGGAATGGTGCGTATGGGCAGTTTGGCGATGGAATGATGCAGTCCGAGGCAGAATGTACGTACGTATTACTTGCCATGGGGTACCTGAGGAATAGATGAGGACGGATGACTGGTGCACGAGATGTGCATCACGAGGATTTGCAGTGGGACATGTTTCGACCGACTGCTTGAGATGAAAATCGGTGCTTCATGGCATAGCGGTAAAGCAAGGTGAGATTGAGGAGGCTGTGAACTGAAATATATACACACACGGCGTGAACGAAGAGATAACAAAAATTACAAAAGGACGAGATGCCAAGATGAGACAAGTGTCTGTATGCTGCAGTGTGAATGCCCATCAGGATACACAGCAGAAAAAAGAATGAAATGAGTCCATAATGGAAGGGGCCATAACTACGCACTTGCTGCACCTGGCGCAGCAGTACTAACAGCAGGAGCAGGAGGTGTCGCAGACGCCAAGGGGGTAGCAGGCCAAGTCTGCGATGATGACACCTGGGCCTGGACTTGGCCTTGCGGTTGGCCATGCTGCTGTGTTGATTGTGTATTGGTGTCGGCGTGTTGAGGAGATGCGCAACAGAGAAAAAGCACGAGATGAGCCAACATTCGAACCGGTAGAGAATGCGCATGTCTTGGACGTGGTGTAGTAGGATTAGTGCCTGGAGCAGGTGGTGTCGTGGACTACCCCTGGGTGTCCGATTGGGTTTGCTGATGTGTTTTTTGTGGCAGTGGTGGAGCAGTAAATATAACCTGGACAGAAATCATTAAACCACGACAATTGTAAACATATCGAGGAGAGACATACCTCCCTGTCCCGCACTGCAGCCACTTCGACAACATGGGGACGCCTTGTATATTGCGAGAGTTCAATTTCTTCATTAGTGTGAGATTGAGAGTGGAAGAGTGAGGACAGGAAATCGATGAGTGCATCTGGACGTAACCTGAAGGTGTCATGGGGTGAGGTTCGGTTTCTTCGTCGGTATTGAGTCGGTGGCGGGGCCAAAGTGAGGACAGGCGAATGAGGAGCACATGTGGATCTAACTGCGAAGGCGTGGAGGATTGCTGAAGTTCGGTTGCTGCATCATTTTCAGGTGGTGAACGGTGAACGAGTGAGAACAGGCGAGCAAAAAGCACCCGTAGATGTAACCCCGAAGGCGTTGAGGGTTGCGGAAGTTCTGTCACTTCAGCCTTGTTGAATCGAAAGCGGTTGAGGAGCAAGAAAATGCGAACGAGGAGAGGAGTTGCAGAGGAGTGAGGGTGGGTACTACCCGTTGGGGAGGACTGAGAGCGCAGAGATCGGGACAGGAACTAAGTAATAGAAATATTGATTACGCACATCGACATCGGCTTCCATGCCGTCAAAAAACCTTGGTGAGAGTTCATCAACACCGCCGAACTCGTCGTGACATCGTGTGGCATCAGCCTGGAACGTTGATGTTATAATAACTGAAAAGGATCAGAAATAGTTCACGTACTTCCAAAAATGACTTGTTACTGATCGAAGAGCGGGGGGTGCACTTATCGTCTTGAGATGCCTTCTGTTCAAGTATGTATTTTGGTGCCTAGCAGCAGACATTGTCAGTGAGAGAGCATAGGCAATTATGTTGATACTCACAATGTTGGTACCAGTGGCCAGCACTTTGAGAATGGCATGGATGTCCCATGTGTACACATTGCCGTTTGGGCAAACAGTGACTAGCACCTTTCCATCAAGAGAAAGGGCTACACAGCGCACAACATCTTCGTGCTCGAGGGGTACGACTTGGCGGTTGGTGTCGAGGTTCCATAGACACACTGTTTTGTCAACAGATGCACTTGCAAGGATGTGTCCGTTTCCAGACAAGGAGGTGGCATTGACCCAGTCTGTGTGACCCTCCAGGACGACGATCTCCTCCCAAGTGGTTGTGTCGAATATCCTAATTGGGCCATATGAACCGGAGATAAGTTTTCTTCCGTCCAACGTCCATGCCAAGCTCCGAACTGGCCACTTATGAGCGTCTTGAACAGTTTGCCTGTCTTTGCATCCCAGATTTTGACTCCATCCTTGTCGTCTCCACCGGTCGCAATTTTTGTTGCATCAGGTGGGTATATCACAGCTGCATTCATCCACTTGTGCCCGGTTTTAATTGTCAGGACAGTCTTGCCGCTCTTGACATCCCAGATTCTTACCGTCCCATCCCGGGATCCGCTCAGTACTTGGTTACCATCTGCACTCCAGCACAATGACCACACAACGTTGCTGCGTCCTGTCCATCTGGTGATAACCCTCCTCGTCTCAATGTTCCATAACCTCACTTCCCCATTATCGTGTCCACTTGCAATTGTCTCGCCATTTGGAGATAATGCCATGGACCACACTCCTGCATTGTCCCCCTCATCTTGCCAGTCCTCTCCTATCTGTGTACCGCTCTCTAGGCCCCATAGTCGGAGTGAGCCGTCCGTAGAACATGTGATGATGTGACCTCCACCGTGCAGATGCATAACGCCATTTACCCAGCGAGTATGGCCTTGCATCATCCTGCATGGCATTACTGCTGGCGTCTTACTGGTGGAGTAAGACATGTTCGGCGCTCGGAGTCTCACCTAGAAGATAGCTTCGGAATCGTATGCAGCAGTTGCTGAGCTGTTATGCGAGAGTGTGCAAAAGATTTTTGTGGGTCACTGGTAAGCAAGTGGTCAGCTTTAACCTACAGAAGAGCCTAGGATATCACTCACGGGAAGCACCGTCTAGAAGAACCCAGTGCTCGATCACCAGCGATCAAAGGGCGTTTGGTTGGGAGTTGGAGGAAGCTTGGCTCACATTCGTTCAGGCTGTTTTTTAAGGTACATCCCACGCGTCATCCTCGTGTTCACTTCACAGCTTATTGATGTGTAGATCAAGTGCATCAGCGCACAGGTCTGCGCCCGGTACTATGCCTATCTTCCTATACGTAAGGACTACGCTCAGGTTGATGGTACGGCACTTCCTCCCCGCTCCACATATTTTCTTCTATCCTATGTTTGAACTTGATGACGTCAACATTTCAGGTTATATGCAGGCAGTGCAACACGCCAATAGTCTTGGCCCCTAGGACGGAGTTGTTGTTCACCAAGGAAGTACTTCATGGTGAGTGTCACTGCTTCGCAAATACCACCTCAGAACGAAGTCACTTCACTATATTGCGAAGGTCGACAGTTCGTTGTATTACAGCTGCTTCATTTTCACCTCCCAGTGCGTAAATTCTGACCCTCCTTCTATCCCGAAGGTTAACATATCGTGACCTTAATTCAGCTGTGATTGCATATAGACCCGCTGCAACTTCACTATGACGTTGACATCTAGAATGAATCAATAAGGTGACCTACGAGATGCCTTTGATTTCGTTTGTGGTTTGTGGTATGTACATTGCCTCCCGGTCACACATAGAAGAGCTTAACCATGATTATATATTGCTACAATGATACACGACAGTTGAACAAAAGTCGGTCGTCGGAAGTGGGTCATCTTGAGTTCAAGCATCATTCCAGCGGTGGACTCCCTCGACTTGCACCTGGCTCACGATCACGATAGCTGCTGAACCAACCCCAACCCCCTTAAAGAACATGGATTGCGTACCTGTCTCGTGTGCAGTGCGCTGACAAACGCTATTTAGTAGCGCCGGACGCTCAGGTCTCAACGATGTCATTCTACCATTATCTAGTCCGCAAGATCTCTTTTGACTGGGTACACTGATAGATAAGCGATCACGCCAATAGTACACTTTAGTGAGATCTAATGCGAGATGGAGGGTTAATGGAGGTGCGCGAGCTTGATCAAGGGTGGTCCCCCGAATGCCTTATCTATATCCATTGATGCCAACTCTCTACCCTGGATAGGTGCTTATGGACATCCGCTATCGAATCCAGTGGGCTTCTGGGGCATACTGCACAATCGAAGTTGAAAAAAATCCGATTGAATCTGTCTGCTGCTCACCTAGAAAGGAACTTCGCTTTCTGGTACATGGTTACAATGAACTTAACTGTCGTTTCAATCAACATGTACGGGTAAGCAGCCGGTTGACTGGTCAGCTGCCAGATTTGCCCCGACACGTGTGCCCTTATCAATTTGTCATGGCCTCACTTAAAAGCAGAACCGAGCACATCCTATTGGCATCAGTGATTTCCCGAGTCGCTATGCTCCTTCGTCCGTTCATGTCAGAGCGTCCCACTGACTTATTCCACGGCCTATGACACACGACTCAACTTGCGAGTGTCACACAATATACAACACTCTCCCCCAAGGAGGATAGTTCTTAATCCACTCAGTTAAAGCCATCGAACACAAGATGCTCATATCACATTTTGGTCAGTGGAATAATCGCTCTTCGGACCGTGCAGTTCTAACACATGATGCATCCCGTGCCATTCCACGAGATCCCGTTCTCGTAGAACACTCCAGATAGAAAATATCAGTGACGCAATGCTCCTTCTCCTACTTTTCACCATCTTCAGGAGCGCTCGAGGTTTCCATGGCCATCCTGTGGCTGCCAAATTGGCACGCTGCATCTAACGTATGTGCGAGGAGAACTTGCATTGTAATTGCAAACCAGTAGCACTGGTATTCAACCATTGTTGCTGGTTCGCTGATACAGTGCGGAGACTCAGATAAAATTCTGATGATACCTTTCCCGGCAGGTGAAGAATCATGTGGAGACTACAATGTATGCTTTCGTCGCACTGTGATCTCGGTAGGACAGTCAGACAAGAGTCACGATTTCTGCCATTATGTGGCTTCGTGATGGGTCATGATTCGCTTCTACCTCTCCAGTGAAACGGTTAAGGAGCAGTCATGAAGCTGAATAAGGTCACTATTCTGTGGGATCATACGGGAAGTAACGAACCCATTCAATATTGTTTTTTTCCCTTTAACATTGACAGTACCTGTCCTTGTAGCTTTAAAGGTGCGTTACGATATTATTTCGTAGAAACAACGATGTTGCAGGTCATATTGCAACGCTAGCTCGTGACTAGTCGCACTCCTGATGCAGGAGGGTAGTCTCTAGTAGGCAAATGTTGAAAACATGAAGACAGTGGTTCCTTCCTTCTAACTCTGACTGAACACATGCATATTCGTTCCTCCCGAGATGATCTTTGATTGTTTGAGGTGTCTCGCATGACTGCCGTCCTGGTGTATAATGCGTGGTGTGATCAGGGTGAAGGCATTATCTTTGGAAAAGAATAAATATATTCAAATTCAATACACTGGTTGGGGTATCCAAGGAATGCTGATGACGTGACTGGTACACGAGACGTCTCTCGTGCAGCACCAGGACTTTCAGCCAGGACACCTTTCTTGCCACCGTTTGTCGGAAGGACAATCGGGTTGTGAAAAGTGAATGTTTCTGTCTAACTGGACGGCGTTAACGAACTAGCAAATGACCTCGATAAGTATTGATAAAAGAACTAGATACATTTATGAGATAGTACTGCATTAATGACCATTGGCGTGTGGGGGAGATGCACAACAAAGAAAAAGTACGAAGCTGACCCGCAATGGAAGGGGTCGTGACTGCACGTTTGGAGAATCTGCTGGGGTAGGACTAGTCGCAGGAGCAGGAGCAGGAGCAGGAGCAGGAGCAGGAGCAGGAGCAGGAGCAGGAGCAGGAGGTGCCACGGACGTCGAGGCGGCAGTAGACTGAGTCTGCGATGATGATGCCTGGGGCTGAGCTGGGCCTTGTGGTTGATATTGCTGTTGTTGTGTTGGTTTCGTGTTGCCATTGGTGTGCTGAGGAGACGCACAGCAAAGGAAAAGCACGACATGAACCCACCATGGGATGGGTCGTGACTGTGAAGGTGTAGTACCATTAGACTGAATGTGTGGATGAGGTCGCGGCCGCGGAGCAACATACAATGCCTGTATGGAGATAATCAGACGCCAGATATTGACACACTGGAAAAAGGTATACCTGCCTGTCCCGCACTGCAGCCACTTCGACAACATGGGGATGCCTTTGGTACTGCGAGAGTTCAATTTCTTCATTGGTATGGGGTGTTGAAGGCGGAAGAGTGAGGACAGACGATCGATGAGTGCATCTGGACGTAAACCCGAAGGGGTTGTGGGGTGATATGAGGGTTCTTCGTCGGCGTTAAGTCGAATGCGGGGCAAAAGTGAGGACAGGCGAGCGAGGACTGCATGTAGATCTACCCGCGAAGGCGTGGAGGGTTGCTGAAGTTCATCTGCTGCATCATTTTCGGGTGGGGAGCGGTGGATGAGCGAGGACAGGCGAGCGAAAAGCACACGGAGATGTAACCCCGAAGGCATTGAGGGTTGCGGAAGTTCTGTCGCTTCAGGTCGAAAGCGACGAAAGAGCAAGGAAAGGCGAGCGAGGAGTGCACTTGCAGAGGAATGAGGGTGAGTACCACCTGATGGGGAGGGCTGAGAGTACAGAGATCAGGAAATGAATTATTTAATAGATGATCACACACATCATCGGCTTCCATGCTGTCGAAAAACCTTGGTGAAAGTTCATCAACACCGCCGAACTCGTCGTGACATCGCGTAGCGCCAGCCTGGAATATTGATGTTATAATAACTGAGAAGGATCAGAAATACTTCACGTACTTCCAAAAACGACTTGTCACTGAGCGAAGAACGGGGGGTGCGCTCTGTTCCTGGATCACCTTGAGATGCTTCCTGTTCGAGTAGACAATGTCAGTGAGTGAGTGAGTGAGTGAGTGAGTGAGTTTTATGTGTTTATGCTCACAATATTGGTATTAATGGGCAGTTGGTCTTCAAGGCCAGCTTCTTTGAGGATGGCGTGAATGTCCCATGTGTACGCGTTTTTGTTTTGGCAACCAGTGACTAAAACTTTTCCATCAGCAGAAAGGGCTGCGCAGCGCACGAAACGATTGTGCTTGAGAGGTGGTCCGACTGGGAAGTTCGTGTCGAGGTTTCCATAGACGCGTTGTGTTATCGAGCGATGCACTTGCAAGGAGGCGTTCATTCTGAGACAAGGAGATGGCGTAGACCCAGTGTCTGTGGCCAGGCTCAAGGATGGCGATCTCCTCCCAAGTGGCTGTGTCGAATATCCTAATCTGGAGTGAACCGGAGATAAGTTTCTTTCCGTCCGATGTCCATGCTAAGCTGCAAACTTGAATCTTATGGTGTTTGAGCGTCTTGAACAGTTTGCCTGTCTTTGCATCCCAAATTTTGACTGCATCCTCGTCGCGTCCGCCCGTCGCAGTGTTTGTCGCATTTGGCGAGCATACCACCGCGTTCACCCACAAGTGCCCAGTTTTGATTGTCAGGACAGTTTTGCCGCTGTTGACATCCCAGACTCTTGCCGTCCCATCCCAAGATCCGCTCAACACTTGATTACCGTCTGCACTCCAGGACAATGCACCTACAACATGGGTGTGTCCTGTCCATTTGGCAATAGCCTTCCTCGTCTCGACGTTCCATAAACTCACTTTCCCATTGTTGCTTCCAGTTGCAACTGTCTTGGCCGTTGGGAGACAATGCTACGGACCACACTCCCCCATTATTCTCATCTCGCCAATCCTCACCTATCTGTACACCGCTCTCTAGGTCCCATAGTCGGAGTGAACCGTCAGTTGAACATGTGATGATCTGTTGTCCGCCAGGCAGGTGCACAACACCGTTTACCCATCTGGTATGACCTCGCATCGTATGACGTGGTGTAATCGCTGGCGTCTCACTGGTAGGGGAAGACATGGTCAGCGCTGGGGTTCTAAGTACTGCAGATCGGGGAATGTGTATACGAGGGAGGTCTTCCGGGATTTTGGAATCAGACCAGGCCATCCTCCAACGGGGAATATTGCTGTTGAGTCCAGACTCCAGAGGCGTGATTTCTTTCACTTTAGCGCTTGTCAGAAGCATGCAAGTCATTGTTCATGAGATAGCTGACTTACAGGAATCCAGTCTTCGCTTAGAATACAACTTCGGGGCTGTGTATGCGGGAGTCGTTGCGCCGTTGTTCGAGAATGCACAAGAGGTTCTTGCAGGTCACTGGTAAGCATGTGGTCAGTTTAACCTGCAGAAGAGCCTAGAGCATCACTCACGAGAAGCACTGTCTAGACGAACTCAGTGCTCAATCACCAGTGTTCAGGGGGCGTTTTTTTGGTTGGGAGTTGAGGAATCTGAACAATTGTCTGTATGCTGTCTTTTGAGGTGTATTCCGTCTTTTATCCTGTGTGTGCTTCACAGCTTAAATGCTGTGCATATGAAGCGCTCAGGTCAGTGCAGTTCTGATGACACTCTGGGTGTACTCTGTTCATTTGGCGATGACCTTTCCCGTCTCGACATGTCACAACCTCACTTTCCCATCTTCACTTCCGCTTGCAACAGTGTTGTCGTCTAGAGACAATGATATGATAGACACCCCCTGCGCTATTTTCCTCGTCCTTCGCCCATCGGTGTACCACTCTCCAGGTCCCATAGTCAGATTGCGCTATCATACGAACATGCGATGATGCGTCATCTGCCGGGCAGATGGACAACACCTTTTGTGCGGCCAGTTTGGCCCCGCATCATCTAGCGGGGCGTGCCACTAATATGTAGACCTCTAGTCAAACTCATCTTCGATGATCTGCGCACCTAAAACGGCCGGCGGGAACGGCGGACCAACGGGGGTAACACCCACGCTGGGGCATCTGCGAGATCAGAGATGTAAACGGGGCAGGGGCCCTTGTAGACTAGACAGTATTGTCCGACATAGGGTATATTACCCCAATGGACAGAAATTGGAATCAAAAAAAAAAATGTAGACCTCTTCCTCACCATTAAGTGAGTTTGAACTTCGGCCGCCGAGTTACCAATTGAATGCTGCGATATTCGGAAGACATGATCTTTATCACCACTTCTAATCAGCCCTGCATACATAGGCAATGCCCTTCTATATAATGCTAGACTCAAGCAATCACAACGTACTATCTTCGTCGCGGGTGGCAGCGAACCTGGGCTTGATGTATGAAGACTAGTGATAGCAAAAGTCAGTGCAAGAATATTACAACGCTGAATATTGGACCCTGTGGACTTGTCCTAGTGGTGGAGACTGCAACATCCAGGACAAGTCACAGGGTTCAGCATTACGATAGAGATCCTCGCAGTTATGAGAAACGAAATTGGAATGGCCCTTCACTAGTCAACGAATCTTGCAAGACTTGGCAAGACTTGCCCCACAAGACAGTCACAATAAAAGCCGGGACTGTCGCATAAGCCAAGGCAGAAGCTTCGAGTTCGTTATGATTACGCACCGGGATCAGATATCGGAGACTTATGATACTCATGAGTCGTATGTTTGAGGGTGATGCACTGATGACTGACCAGTTCACAACAGAATGCCTGGTCTTGCGTGTACACTGTATTTGACGACAACGATCCAGATGGTCTTCTCGCGCTCCTGAACGATGCTCGTGTTATGCGAGGGGCGAGTCACGCGCTGCAAAACACATCACCCCCGCGACTGACGAATACAAATGATCCTCTAAAACTCTCGCAGAGAACTCGGTTCATCATGGTCTTTAAAGGAAACTGTAAAACTCGTGTGCAATTGATGCATCGATGGTTCCAAAGTCTTTAGGGGTGGGTCATGAGAGGGATGAATGTCAAGGTGTGTTCCGATAGAAAAAATTCCTGTTATTCGGCTAGTTTCGAACCTGCGCAGGCTGAGAGAAAACAGATTTTGATTCTGTTGTGGTGACTACTTGGCTAACACGAGTCTATGAGGAAACCATCCATGAGTGAATTTCAAGGTGTGTTGCGATAGAAAAAACCTTGTCATCAGCAGGTTTCAAACCCCCGCAGTCCAAGAGAAACAGATTTCGATTCTGTTGCGGTAGCTCACTTGGCTAAGACTAGTCCAGATGAGCCTCTGATGGTGTCACCCACGAGTGAATGTCAAGGTGTGTTGCGATAGAAAAAACTTGTCGTCGGCAGGTTTCAAACCTGCGCAGTCCAGGGGAAACAGATTTTGATTCTGTTGTGGTGACCACTTGGCTAATATCAGTTAACATGAGCCTCTGGGGAATCCATCCATCAGTGAATGTCAAAGTGTGTTGCAATAGAAAAAACCTTGCTATCGGCAGGTTTCAAACCTGCGCAGTCCAAGAGCAACAGATTTCGATTCCGTTGGGGTAACCATTTTGGCCAAGATGCTTCCCAAGAGTTCCCAAGTTGAGATGAACCTCCGAAGAAGTTGCCCAAGGTGTAATAAGAGCGAAAATTGTTTGTCTTTGTCGGCAGGTTTCGAATCTGCACCACCCGAGATAGCATATTTCTGATCTGTTCTGATGCTGGTCGGTGACCCTGAAGGATCCATCGATGAGTGAATGTTGAAGGCGTAATAAAAGGAAAAACATGGTCAAGCAGGTTTCGAACCTGCCACAAATTTCTGTCACGTAATGCTTACCACTTGACTAAGACCGGTCAACGAAGAACTTCCGTCATGCATATTGTACGGTTTCAAAAAGCATATGCACAGTGAGTGTATGTGATTAAGTGGGGAGTCTGGGGACTGCTACTGTGATCATGACCATGCCTATAATCTTTCCTGGTGACAGACACCAGATTACCTACTTTCCTTCCAATCTTCATCATGGTATCTAACATTTTCCTCCGTCAGCATCAAAGCACTATAGTATCATCCGTCCCTTGGATCAAGTATTTAAGAAATACGTCGACTCGGACGGCATTTTCGTACCAGAAGGCTCGGAAAACCTGTCAGTTGACTAGCCATACCATCTGTCTCAATCGTACTCACTTCCCACCGTCAGTCCCGCAGAAAGCTCTCTTTCGGATCAAGAAGAAAAGGACGACGACAAGGATGATGATGCGGTCGGACGATACTTCAAGTTCTCCTTCCCCGATCTAGACGAGCGGATAAGACAAGTCATCGAAAAATACGGCGCAGTCTTCCCTAAGCTCAATTTTTCTTGCACCAAGGGTCAGCCAATTGCATATACATCCTTGTTCACATCAAGACAAAGTTGTTTATCAAGAAATTCATGGTGAGTGTCACTGCTTCGCAAATACCTCCTCAGGACGAAGTCACTTCGCTGTATTGCAGCCGCTTCATTTTCACCTCCCAGTCCACAAATTCTGCACCTCGTTCTATCCCAACTTGAAATGATATCCTACCGTTACGTTAATTCAGCTACGATTGCAGATAGACCCGTTGTGACTTCAGTATGACGCTGACATCTGGAATGAATCAATAAGGTTTACGGGATGCCTTTGAATTCGTTTGCGAGTGGGATATCTTGAGTCGAAGCATCATTCTAGATGCGGACTCCCTCGACTTGCACCCGACTGGCGATCGCGATGGCTGCTGAACCAACCTTAAAGAACATGGAATGCATACCTGTGTCTCGTGTGCAGTGCGTTCACAATCGTTATACAGTAGCATGCGCCAGACGTTCGGATGTCAATATCAATGATGAAATGGATATTCTACGAGTACCTAGTCAGCAAGATCCAGAGGGTATGACAAGCTGATAGGTGAGCGATCACGCCAATAGTATACAACAGTGAGATCTGATGCCCGATGAGGGTTGATGGAGAGGTGCGCGAGCTTGATCAAGGGTGGTCCCCGAACGCCTTATCCATAGATGCCAAATCTCTACCCTGGATAGCTATCTATAAGGTGCTTATGGACATCAGGTATCGAATATGGGGGTCTTCTGGGGCACGCTGCACAATAGAAGTTCAAAATGGCGCAGGATGTGGAATCTCTGTTCGCCGCTCACCCAGAAAGGAACTTCGCTTTCTGCGGTCGACCGGTCAGCGCTAGCGCTAGCTGCCAGATTCATTCGCCCCGACACGTGTTCAAGCCCTTAGGCCTTATTGATCATCAATTTGTCATTACTTTACATAAAAGTAGGACCGAACACACCCTAAATATTGCTATGCTCCTCCTCCATTCATGTCAGAGCGTCCCCGGGCCACTGACCTATTCCACAGCCTACATGACATATGACCCCAATAATGCGACTCGCGCGTTTCACGTAATATACAACAATCTCCCAGAGGATGGTTCTTAATTCATCCAATTACAGCCATCGATCACAAGGTGCTCGTATCACATTTTGGTCGGTAGAATATTCGCTCTTCGAGGACCGTACAGTTCTAATGATACATTCCATGCCTTTCCACGAGATCCTTCCACAAGACTCTGTTCTCGTAGAACACTCCAGATGGAAAAGATCAGTGACGCAATACTGTTTTGCCTACTTTTCACCATCTTCAGGAGCGCTCGAGGTGTCCATAGCCATCCTGTGGCTGCCAAATTGGCATGCTGTATCTAATGTATGTGCAAGAAGAACTCGCATTGTGATTTTAAACCAGTAGCACTGGTATTCAACCATTGTTGCTGGTTCGCTGATACAGTGCGGAGACTTAGACAACAGTTGGGAGGGTGCAGTTGTGCGATCGATGAATCCAAGGCAGGATGTACATACTTGCCACCGGGTACCCGAAAAATATATGCAAACGGGGTGATTGGTGCACAAGATGTGCAGCATCAGGATTTACAGCTAGAACATGTTTCTAGAGTTGAGAGTTGAGGTTTCATGGTATAGCGTTGAAGGCAACCTGAGATCGAGGTTGTGAAATCAAATGCACATTCTCAATGTGAACAACGAGATAACAAGAATTACAAAAGAACCAGATGCAAAGATGAGATAAGTGTCCATATGCTTCAGTGTTGATACCCATCAGAATATACAGTAGAAAAAAGAACAAAACAAGTCTGCAATGGAAGAGATCGTGACTACGCACTTCCTGCAACTGGTGAGGCAGTATGAGTATCAAGAGCAGGAGGTGCCGCGGACGCCGACGGGGCGGCGGGCTGAGTCTGTGATGACTCAGATGACGCCTGGGCCTGGACTTGACATTCCGATTGACCTTGCTGCTGCGTCGGTTGTGCATTTCGATTGGCGTGTTGAGAAGAGGTGCAGCAGAGAAAAAGCACGAGATGAGCCAACAGCCGGACGGGCAGTGAATGCGCATATCTTGGACGTGGTGTCGTAGGATCAGTACCTGAAGTAGGTGGTGTTATGGACGACCCCTGGACGTGTGATCGGGTTTCCTGGTGTGTTTTTTGTGGCGGCGGCGGAGCAGTACATATAACCCGGACAGAAATAATTGAACCACAGCGATGGGAAATGCATGCAAAGAAATGTATACCTCTCTGTCCTTTACTTCAGAAACTTCGATGATACGAGGACCACGAGAGAAGGTGGGCCGCCTTCGGCGTTGCTGGAGTTTGGTTGCATCATTTTTATTGCGAGGAGAGCGACGGAAAGGTGGCCAAATGCGACGAAAGAGCGCACTCTCACTCCCAAAAGAAGGTGTGAGACAGCGGGAATGGCGGGCAGACTCGAAAGGAATAGTGATAGTTACCGTACGCTCTGGAGGACTGAAACCAAGAAGTTAGAACAGGAACCTATTAAAAACATTGATACGCACATGAGCACCATTTGTCACGTCGTCGAAAAATCCTGGCGAAAGATCATCATCCTCGCCTGCGTAGCATCTGCCTATATAGAATATCAAGGTTACAAGCTTGAGAAACGGATTACGTACATCCATTAATAACTCTTGAGCTGCCACTTGCGAGCGGAAGATCAACGTAGCTTTGACTGAAGAATCATGGGCTTTACATCAGATAAAGGTTGGAGTGTATGGCGTGAATGTCCCAACATGTGTGTACGCGTTTTCGTTTTCACAAACAGTGACTAGCAGCTTTCCATCAGCAGAAAGTGCTGCGCAGCGCACATCACCTTCATGTTGGATGCGTGGTCCGACTGGGAGGTTGGTGTCGAGATTCCATAGACGCGCTGTGTGATCAACAGGTGCACTTGCAAGGAGGCGGTTGTTGTGAGACAAGGAGATGGTGTTGATGAGGTGCATCAGCGGCTGTGTTGATCCGGAATGAACCAGAGATGAGTTTCTTTCCATCAGACGTCCAGGCCAAGCTCCACACTTGATAAGTAGGTACCAATGTCATCAAGCGCTTCCACTCAGTTATGTACATAACTCGCGTACGTATGGAAAGCCAGACAACCGCGCTCAATTTCTCATGTGCATGCTTCTCCCGACGCACCATATAAGGTATACGCTTCTACAGGACATCTGCCACCGAGAATCACAGGCGGCAGTTTGTGAGAGGTTATTGGACCAAAAAAACTCAATGACAATAGTACAAATGTAACAAAACTTGACATCAGGTGTGACGATACGGCGTGTTCAATATCAAGCTTGCCTCCCATATGCCTCCAACTCGAAACCAGACCATTCACAGTAATGGTTGCACACATGTTTCTCCTCAAACTGGCTCACCACATCTTCAATATTTCCATCACCGAAAAGATTGTTGCCTTCAGAAACAGACCTGGAATGAATATGAATAGTTGAAAGTAAGGTCACAGCTAGGGTACATACGGGTGCGTTAATATTTGCGGGTCTGTCAGCAACTCCGTGCTACCTGTGGTAGTACACCATGTGAGCCAGCAAAACAAACGCAAGTAACTTTTACACACCCTGATAGTCGGAGATATATGCCAATCCCCCGGTCTTCTCATACTGAACGTGTTGAGTAAATGCCAAGAAAAGTGCTGTACTGTACCCATCCTCGCCAGGATCAAGGAGAGGATCGCAGTCCGTGTTGTGAATGAATTTCACGAAGGCGTCTGGCCCACCCGGAATAAGTTCCTCTAAGAGAAATGCAGCACGGACAGAGCATGGTTTAGCACCCGGTTTAGCAACGATCATCTGGCCAGGTAGGAAGGATAGTGCAAGTCCAGCATGAATGAAACGAAGACGTGGAATCTCAAAAGGAGGGGGGTTTGACGAGGCTGTGACACAACGGTTAACGAATGCATAGGTGAGATCTAACAACGAATTTGCCCAGTACAGGACATTGGCTTCCTTGAACTGCTTGGACAATTCGTCGGCCACAGCGTAACGTCCAACTTTGTATGTGCCTGTCGATGGTCCATTTGGAGGAAATATCTTGATGAAAGGTCTCTTGACTACGACTTTCTGATGCGGGATTGAACCTAGTCCGGTTGTAGGAATGTGTGATGCGAGTGTTAACCACCCAGGATGGGCAGTCTTGAATCCACCTCGGCCGATGAGATTGGCAGAGGATGTGTCGACTGTCAGTTGCCCAGTTGCCGATTCTGCAGTATGCAACGTGAACGACTGATACTTGCTATCTTCCAGAATTTCGGACATTGGGCGAGTAGCAATCCAGTACAGCTGGACATTTTCGTTCTGCAGGTCGTACACTTTGAAAGGACATTAGCGCCACGAACAAGATACTCAAGATATGGAACTCACCACTCTGCGCATCTACATTTGCTATTCCGCCAGATCGGAGTGCTTCTTTCAACTCATTACGATCGGGTGACCGAAAGATATTGGCAGAAGCAGCTTTCTTTAGTGGTGGTGATGTAGATGAGGATGTAGAACTAAGGCTACTGGCTGTACGGAGGTGGGTCCTCTTTAAGGGAACTTCAGGAAGTGGTACCTCAGTGGCAAGGTAGTCTTCGCCCTGGAAGACATCAATGGAAGCTTCGGAGATAGCTGTAGTAGCCATTGGAGCTTGGCGGGTAGCCTCGTCCTACAAGAGTCCCAAGTCAGCCTAGATGCACAAGAAAAAGTAGTAGCATTACCTCTTCAGCTCGCTCGGTCCATTCTTCATATTCGCGCCACTGGCTCTCAGGTACAACGACCATGAGTGCAAACTGTTTTGTCTTGAATATCTGTGACTTTAAGCCTTTACGTCCAGCTTGAACGCATTGGGAGTAAAAATATGGCTCGCGTGCATGATGACCCGATAGATCCACCCATCGTGAGTCTCGGACGACGAATTCTTCATACCGCCACTGAAAGGCAGGACAGAATGATTGAATCTTTGGATAAACGGTATCGAGGGCTATTTTGATGAGACCTGGGGCGTCAATTTGAGCGTCTATATCCTTTTTTCCTTCGCAGATACTCTGGATCGGCATTAGTGGTTGTATTGCAATAGAGTAGTTATACACATACCCCAAAAGGTGTACCACGCCCACCCTTCTTCCGGCTACCTCCCTCATGAACAGCCGAAATTTCGAGTGAGATCGTTTGAGATGGAGGAGGAGCATAGGATAATTTTGCCCAACGATCACGCTCCGAGCCATAGAGGGCATGGTGTGGCGTATATCCGGTGGAACTACGCATAGTTTGCTGCGATGATGCCTGCCACAGTGACGGAACACTAATGTCAGGCCCTGCAGAAAACTCGGACCGTCCATGGGACAAAGGTATCACTGGTGGTGGATTGACCGACACTTGGCAAATCAGTCACAAGTTACACCAGGTAATTGATATGACGACTTACATTTTCTTTGGCCTGCGTTCACTGACTGCCGAATGACATGTGGATCTGGAGGGCCTCGACCAGCGAAGCCAGAACTACCACCACTGGCAAAGCCTGGAGTAGGGCGAACTGAAAATGCTTGTTAGTTATAGACATTGTGCCAGAACTTAACTTACCAGCAGGTCGCACAGATGTTGCTGACTTCTTTTGATAGCGTTCATGGCAGGGACCACAGACATAGCGCCCTGGTTTACCGTGCTCTATGGTGGCCACATAGAAGCAAGGGTCACCCTTGGTGATATTGGTGCCACATGCAGGACGCTGGCACAACCGGTCCTCTTTCGCAAAGGCGTCCTCGGTGAATTGAGACACAAGCTCGTAGTTAGACATAGCCACAAAGAATAGTAGTTGAAGAGGGAGACTGAAGCTCAGAGCGCAATGTCCAGGATGCTTAAATGCACCATGAACCACTTAATTTAGATATGTATATGTAGAAGAAAACATACCAAATATCCGACATTGGAAGTTGCACTGCAGAGAGCGAGACAGATAATGATGTGCAGAGAGTTGCGCTGCAGAGAGATCACCAAGGATCCGGAACATTGTTCACCGGAAGTTGTGCAGCAGAGAGCTGCAAAGAGATCAGTTATAGTACATTCTATATACAATTTGACGAGACCTAGCACGCTGTTGGCATTCATTGGCATTCACGGTCAGAAGCAATAGTGAGTTATCTAGCTGCGGAGTAAAGTTTACGGTCAGAAGCTGCAAGGCTACTCATGAAACTCACGGTCACGGTCAGACCCAGGAACTGCTCTCTAAATCCAGGCCTAGAATGTCAAGCTTGGTAAGAGGGGAGGATGAGTGCTCTTTCTGAATGTCAAACTAGGTAAGAGGGGAGGATGAGCGCTCTGTATTGAACGTGGCCACAGCCAACTACTGAATGTAAGTAATCTCCTATCTCCTCTGAAGCAATTCCCATGCACAGCAAACAAGTTTAGTAAGACATTTCCTACACCATTTCAATGTACAGCGGTCAAGGAATCGTCAGTATAAATATGCCAACTTCATGGGCTCCTTCATGGGCTCAAGCCGCTAAACTGAAAATGCCTAACCAGAACAAACCCACACGTTCGTCTTCCAACCTTTGACCTTGCATTGACGCTGACTCAGACGTTCTAGCACCTTTGGCTGACATCGCGCCCCACATCCTTCGGCTGTGGAAGTCACGTCTCACGGACAAGCAGATAGTCCAGGCCTTACGAAAAGAAATTGACACCGAACACTATGGAATTGGATTAACTAAATTTATACAGGTTCGTACAGACATGGGGCTTCTGCGCACACGCCAGCAAGGCCACACCGTGGAGTCCATTCGTGATGCCATGCTCGAACTTCGCGAAATGTACCCCAAGGCCGGCATGAGAGAAATAATTAGCTTACTACACCACGAGGAGGGTATGAGTGTATCAAGGTACGAACACTTACCTTTGCTGATCGTTCCCATCGAATGAACACTTCGACAGGAGTGTCATAAAGTCTTATTTTGCCATCTATGAAGCTGACCTTGTTCGCCAACGAAAGGCCCGCCGCCTGCAAAGGAGGCGCTTTTGGGCTGCTGGAGTAAATGACATAGTCGCAGTGGACCAGCATGACAAATGGCTGCGGTTTGGTCTAGCATTGCACACTGGAATCGAACCTTTCTCTGGCCGCATCATGTGGATGCGGGTTTGGCATTCCAATCGAAATCCACAGCTCATTCTGAGCTACTATCTAGATACTATCGAGAACCTTGGTCGTGAGTACTTTGATTCAGAAATTGTCACAATGTTCTAACATCCTCAACAGATATGCCCTTGGTTACACAGAGCGACCCTGGGACTGAAAATTTTGGGATTGCCAATGGCCACACCATGTTGCGTCAATGGTACGATCCTTCACTACAGGGCACATTACAGCATCGCTGGATGCGAACCAAGAAAAATGTAATGCCGGAGATCGCGTGGTCGCAACTGCGACGTCGATTTACTCCGGGTTTTGAGTCCCTGCTGGACCACGGAGTCGAACAGGACTGGTATGACAGTGATAATACACTTCAAGTGTACGTGTTTCGAGTTTCAATCTGTCGCATTGATTAATGTTTCTTCAGAATGGTCTTTCGATGGGTCTTCATCCCATGGTTGCAGCGTGAATTAGACTCTTACCAGGACCGGATCAATCATACTGCCAAAAGGCGTGATCGCAACAAGGTACTGCCACATGGAGTCCCAGAACTTATCTATCGGTCCGCTGAAGACTTTGGTGCCCTTGACTTCAAGGTGCGCACCATCTAATCTTTGTCTTAGGGAGCTGACCTTGACTCATCAATAGATCAAGATAGAGAAGGCCGCTGTGGATCATGTGCGAGCGACGTACATCAAACCTGGACACCCTGTGTTCGATCTCGTGCCCAGTGACCTTGGAGACACTCTCCAGATGTGCTACGAACGTTTGGGACGTCCTGTCGTCAATCGCAAATCAGCTTGGACAGTGTATCTAGGACTGCTTCGTATATTTCCGCCCTCATTGAAACACGACCCCAGATGCCGCTCCCTGATAGTATTGAAAGAGATGAACTTGAAGAATTGCCGCTCCTTCAGGAGCATCGAGACCTGCCATTTCATGAAGAGACTAATGGGTATTATTATATGGGTGGCGTTCGTGGAGGACTTGGACTAGATGATGGTCATCATCGATTGCTCGATGACCTTACTCACGAAGACGAACCGGATGTCCCTCATGAGGCTGACAATGCCGGTCTCGTTGTTTGGGAATTTTCGGACGAAGAAGCGGGTGCAATGGACGAGTGGTGATTTGCTGGCCATGGCGAACGGTTTTGAAACAAAGGCAGGCGTTGAAGGGTGGCAGTTGGCTTGGTGTATCGTACTTTGATCAATTGCACATTTCTTGATCTTGACATTACTCCATCGCACGATGCTCAGACTTAAGCTTGACCAACTTCCCATGTGATACTGTCACATGACTGGCAAAACGTGGCACTTTTTCCTCGACTTACATAATCTGTCGAGGAAAAAGTGCCACGTTTTCCGGTCAGGTGACATTGTTGCAAGTCAGGTGCCATGACATGCATTCACAATTGATGGATTGCAATTCGATATTTTACATTGGGGGTGTTCGGAGGTCAATGGAAGCACATGCCTTAATAGGCAGGTTCTGAGAAGAAGAAGGTGCAAAACTTGAGCGCGGTTGTCTGGCTTTCCATACGTACGTTTGTCTCACAAATCCAGTACTTGCTGTGTAAATTAATATTTGAACCGCGCTGTTCCTTACATACGCATACACATGAACTTCCTCTTCTTCCGCGGGCACCGTGTTCTGTTCGCAGGATCCGGAAGGCAACTCCATATACTTATGGGTCAATTGCCCAGTCCTGTCAACCTTCCATTGCGGTCTTAGATCTGATTGCTCTTCTGGAATACACAGGTTGACATGCAGAGTTAGTAAGGTCGAGATGCCTTCGACTGGAACCAGGCGCAGGAGGTGGAGCTCTCAGATAGCCTGAAGACGCATAGCAGATCAGAAATTCAATTGTCACCTGCGTGCCACTCGAGATGCCTACTAAACGGAGGCTAACACGACTTCTTGCAACACATCACTTACTATTACATGCTGCTGGATCCGACCTCTAAGGGAGGGATATTAGAACTCGAGACTCCTACACATACCTATGGCAAGACAAAGCTTGTAGGCATCACGTCGTAACGAGACCCCGGCCATGTTGATAGTCAGGTAGTGTTTGGATATTGAGTCTGGCTGCCCGCCGCCCGGGTTCAAGCGCTCATGCTGATGTTTTCAGCATCAGCTGCACACACTAGCTGCGTGTATTCCAGATACCATTCTATTTACATAAGGGCATTTAATAGTGTTACGCCCAGTCTTTTGATTCAGGGTGGCCTTTCGGTACCCGTTCTTGCCCCGTTCCATCTTGCTAGTACCCTTTCGAAGTTTGCGGCTATGCAGTCGATCTGCATTTCAACTTATGTGATTCCATAAGATGCTGTGCAGTGTGCAGACGCTCGACATGTGGTTTTCTACCTGTGCTACTCTCACCACACATAAAGCTGAAGGCACACTGCGTTGTTCTCAATCCGCAAAAAGTTACCATAAATTTCTCTATCATGTCTAGTACAGAGGAACATCCTGGTGTAGGAACAACAACGCTCGCCCTGGAGGCACGAATTGCTCGTTTTGACCAGTAGTGAGTTCTTCCGTACGGTATCGTCCCAGTTCTTCATATCAATATTCGTTACAGTCATGATCCGTGAGCATCCCCAGAATGGAATGTTCAGCGTTTGAATTTGATCACTCTTCCAGACGATTTGGAACAACCGTCTACAAAAAGACGAACATAAACAAACAATCAAAGCACCTCAAGAAACTGAATGAAAAGAAACCAGTTATTGTCGTCCGACGAGTCATGGACGGCAAGGGCCGATACGCAAAGACTGAAATTGACATCCGAAGTCGAGAACTTTGCGAGGTGCTCGTGGAGATACACCGAGGTGTGGAAGGTTTAGATCTCTCGCGAAGTGCCGTAAGTTGAACATGAAATATTTTAACATCACAATGCAATTCTCATTAACCATTTCAGTGTGACCCGAAGCTGCTTTTTTTATCTTACAGCAAGCTCGAGGAACGACTGGAATTAGAAAAGTCGAACGGCACGCCAAACACTGCGCTAATTTCTGAGATCGAAGTAGTCCTTCACTTTATCCGGGAGCAGTACGAAACCACCTTTGTCGACTTTAAATCATTGACAAGACACGAGTCCATCACCTTCGATTTACTTTGGATATTATTCCGCCATGGCACCCTGGTCTTCAATCGCCACGAGTTCACTGAGCAGGACCACATTCTCCGAGCTACGCGCTTTGAGATCATACAGACAAATGAAGGACTCTTTGCAGAAATCCATTGTCATGTGATTACTAACGACGGCGAGCGTTTTGGAATTGCTAACCAAAGGCTTCGGATCTCATCGTTCGAAGGAGAGCGAAAGATACAAAGCCTATCTGTTTTTCCCCTCCTCTATCATTCGAATGGACCCAAAATTCGCGAACTTGCAGCCAAACGAGGTCGGAAATTTGCAGGCTTGCAATGCCAAACTTATGGTGAGATTTCCGGGATGGCTGCCTGTGTCGACGACCGCTCCCAGGACGACCGTCAGGTTCGAAAGTACAGGGTGAGCAGTAATAACCAGTCCTGTTAATAGTATAGCCTATAACAAATCGATATAGGCATACGGGCGCGTCATGATCGATCCTGGCGCATTTCGTATGTTTAAGCCTGACTCTAGTCTCAATCTCCCAGTTTCTACCCGGTTGGTTCCAAAGGAACTCGAGGAAGAGCAATATGTAATCTGCACTCCTGTTGTTATAGGCTTTTGCTTCGGAACAAAGCAGTGGGGTGCGAGAATTTTCCTGCTTGGTTCCGCACATTTCTACAACAAACTTACGCGTCTTAGGCGGATTCGCTCTTGACAAGCTGGAGGATGTGTCCTGGTCATTAGAGCCCTTCGATCGTCTGGTCCTGGACAACAGACACAAAGAATTGATTCATGCATTGGTGAAGCAGCACGCATCGCGTACTAGTTCAACCTTTGACGACCTCGTGCGGGGAAAAGGAAAAGGCCTCGTCGGATTGCTTGCAGGCCCACCTGGATGTGGGAAGACGCTTACAGCGGAAGCAGCGGCAGAGGTATTTCTCAGCATAGCTCATGATTTCATCTACCCTCATCACCTTCGGTCAGGTGACAAAGTGTCCCTTATATTGTATTTCGGCAGGCGAATTGGGATCCGACTCGGAGCATGTAGACCATGCTCTAACTCAGATTCTGGAACTTTCCCAGCGGTGGAAAGCAATCGTCCTTCTCGACGAAGCAGATGTTTTTCTGTCACAAAGGAGGGACACTGATTTGGAGCGGAATGCCCTGGTGTCTATTTTTCTACGGCAACTGGAATACTATCAGGGAATCATGTTTTTGACGACCAACCTAGTTTCACAGTGTGATGCTGCATTCGAGAGTATGTGCTTTCGCTTTGCTGTAGTTGAGTTCCTCAATCAATCACAAAACAGGTCGAATCCACTTCACGGTGCACTACCCATCACTGTGTCGTGGCTCGCGCAAACAGATCTGGAAGACGTTCATCGATAAAACATCGGGTACCTGCCAGTCCATAGTCAGCGAGGCTGATATTAATGCCTTATCCCGGGAGATACTCAACGGCCGTCAGGTATGTTGATCATCACTTTCTTGCATTTCGCATGATTGAAAGTGATGATGCCAACGGAATCATAGATCAAGAACACTGTGGGAACTGCTCTCTCTCTCTCGTTGCATTCGAATACACCGCTTTCTGAGAAACACATCCGCACGGTGCTTGATTCTATGCAGGACTGGAACAAGGCTCGGGAACACCACAAGTCTTATATGTCATCTGAGCACAAATCAGATTTGCGGGTCGGCGTCCCGGCTGGCATGCAAAGTGCGGTGCATTGCAGTAAGTTCGCCTTCGTTGTATCCTGTGGGGATTTTCAGGCCGTACAGGATATTTGCGAGCAGTGCTGATCAAATTCAATCTCAGTTGTGCACATCTCAATTGTTGTTCTTGCATGTCACTTCTTGCTTAAGACTGCACGAGCTGGCCAGATGTGACTGCACATTGATTGTATTGGACTTCATAGTGCGCTACCAATACTAGTACTAGTAGGCCCTATAGGAATATCTCTAAATTTGGACACTTGGCTATGCTACTTAGTAGGCACAATTCAATACCTACATGGTCGGATGTCCGTTCCGTTGAGTCTATCTATCCCGCATTATCGACACTTGGCTATGCTACTTAGTAGGCACAATTTAATATGTACACAGTCGGATTGAGTCTATCCCGCATTATCGCAGACCGCATCTCATTAATTAAGTTTCATGTTTGACTGGTCCACTTGGGAGTAGTCGATGGAAAACATGCAGCAAGAAGAAGCTTTGGGCAACTAAGGACTTCCCTCAGTAAAACTTTTACTTACTGGATAGTCACCCACTATTTGACAAACCTGGCCAATCAAATTCAATGTGTAAACAGAATTTTTTCATGACTTCTCGCGATCAGTCTACTACTGGTACCACCTGGTGTCCCCAGTCTGCGAGGCCTGGGAATATCCAATCATCATACCGCTATTGTCGGATTTACGTCGACATCGGATCAACGTTAACGTTAAGCGCCAACGCTCAATTGTGTGCACACTTGACCTGGCAGACAGCCTTGCACATTAATTGAGCGCTCATCCGAATTTGCTAATCAAACTATCCAGACCGGAACTAGTAGAATCTGTGGAGGACTACATAGCCCCCTCAACGTTTCAACCAGTGACCAGTGATATTACACCTCGCTACATGTAGTGAATTCCCAAATCATTTCTAGGCTGCCATAAGCTGGCTTGTGCGTCTCCGTATTGATTGATTGTACTTCCATTGGGAACGTTCCAGGAGGTCTGCCTCGCGCACAATATGTATTAATGTGGTATTTTCAAATCCAGGAAAGATTCGAATACTTCTAGAGAACCTTCTCAGGCTGTGCTCCCGCCTCGAGGCTTCCGGAACCAGACACACTTATTTAATTAAGTAACTGCCAGCTGGCTATGAGTAAACGGTTGCATCTACTCAACGCTCAGCGCTCATGCATCAGCCAGACCAGACAACTTCCCTAGTACAGTCCTCAGAGTGCGTGCTCAAAGTTGATATGTTAATGTGCCAACTAAACTCTTCTGTCTCAAGGAAAACTCCCTTTGAACAGGCCTGGGAGGCGTACCGCACAAGCATAAACTTGTCGCAGACCAAAAAGGTCCAATTCATCGAAAAATGCTCCAAGTTTGCCTCAGAATGGCGTGATCCTGCTGCAGCCATAAATGAAGCTATCACAGAGGCAGAGAATCAAGATTACCAGAAACAATCCCGGAAGGTAGTTCGCGCGTATCTGCTCCCATTTCTGAATGCCTTGACGGGCTTCACTGGTATCGTGGACGCATTGAGTCAATTCCGTGCTTATCATAAATGCCCTCTTGGATGTTGATCCTCTTGTTTTAGCCACCTTGAATCCGATCGCATCGATCGTCTGGGGCTGTCTTAAGGTCGCTATTAATGCAAGTGTCAAGTGCCTAGTTGAACATAAATTTGAGTGACGCTCATCATTTAACTTTACTTCTTTCCAGAGCCTTGATCAATGCGCGAGACTCTTTGAAACCATCCACTCCGAGCTGGCCACTCTCGGTGATCACCTAGAGAGTATTTCTGGCTATGGTGACCTGTACCAAAGAAATAAAAAGATGCAGAGGATCCTCTGCAATTCTTACATCAATGTTATCCGCTTCTGGCATAGAGTTGATAAAGAATGCACTAAGTCAGGTCAGATCGAAGTTTGTATATGATAACCGAGCTTGATCTGACATGAAGCTTAGGGCCAAAGCTCGGGACACCCTTTAGCACAAAGAAGTTGGGGGGCATCATAAGTGACATGCGTGAGGACGCGGTGAAGATTAAAGAATGCGCCTCCCTCCTTGGTGCCCAGGAATCAAGGGACGAATGTGTCGCTAATAAAGTGGCCAGACGGGAGGCAGAAGAAGAGAGGATCAAGGCAGAAGAACACCGGGAGTTGGATAAGCTGGTCACTGTCTTGGATCGGCTGCCATCGAAATCCTTGAACGAGCAGAGTTTCGCACGGCAAGAGAAGAACTTACGTGACCGCAGCCAAAACACTTGTCAATGGCTGTTTTCCCATGACGATTTTCTCCAATGGCAGAACAATCCCTCATCACCACCGATCCTGTGGATCCATGGCCCGCCTGGATCCGGGAAATCGACTCTGTGTTCGAGCGCCATCGAATTCCTCGCCAAAAGCTCGGGATTGGATGTAGTGATTTTTCACTTTTATGACTTTGCGCAGCATCTTCCTCCAGAGCAGACATTATCTATTCTCGCAGAACAACTCCTCCTTCAATATCACCAGCGTCTACAGAAAATTCCGGATGAATTGTTGAAAATCATCCACGCGCCCGGATCTCTCCGTGAAAGAGTTCAGAACATCATCACGGTATTGATCAAGGAATGCTCGAGGGTTTACTTCTTCCTCGACGGCCTGGATGAAGAGACTACGAATTCATGGGATGATGCTGTATTGGTGCTTCGTTTTCTTACCAAGCTCGCGGACGATTCTCCTAGCAGAGTTCGTGTCTGGTGTAGTACCCAGCGCCGGGACTGCATTAGCGAGGAGCTCCAAGGGTGTTGTAGCATCGACATTGATTTTTTCGCGAAATGCGATCTCGCCCTGTACCTATCAGAAGAGGTCTCCAAGCTTCAGTGCTCGAGTCCTCCTGACCAAGCTTGTATCCTGGAGACGCTGAAAAGCCGTGCGGAATGCAGCTTTATTTGGGCGAAGTTCATGATAGATGCCCTTGGAAAGTGTTGGTCGACGAGTACCATGGAAAGCAGTCTAAAGAAGCTCCCACCAACTCTCGTGGAATATTATCGCACATTTTTCAAGCGCCTGGAGCGGCCCCACCGTCCGCTGGCTTGGTATGTTGGCCATTTATTGTTCCAAACACTTCTTCATTCTGAGTATACAACTGTCCAGCAAAATTTTTGCACTCGTTGTTTTTGCTCGACGTCCTTTGCGATTGTCAGAACTTACCGAGGCTGTATGGTGCTTAGAGAGTGAGCCCCACAAAGACCTCCAGCAGAAGGCCAAGCCGAATACCAACAGCATCCGTACCATAGTCCAACCCTTCATCGAATTGATGAAGACTAACAAGACAGATGATTCTAGCACCGAGGATCAGTATACCTGTCATATCCTACACTCCACCCTGCGCGATTTCCTTCTGAACCATCCAGATATCTTGTGTGACGATTCCTCAGATCTTCGCATTAGCGCTGATTGGCCGGCTCGCGCTTGCTTGCGTTATTTAGGTCAAACTAGATATTCCGGCCTACTAGTCAGACGGGAGGGAAGGTGGCTTGACATCAAGGGAGACCCAGTGGATCGTCACCCTTTGCTTGTATACGCAGCCAAGTACTGGGATAAGCACCTTGACGACGTTGCCATCCAGGAACCTGGCAATGTTGAGTCCTTCGTCACTTCTCCTAACTTCCGGACATGCGTGCAGGTCCAGAGCCTATGGGTAGAAGCACAGTTTTCCTTTTTCTCTCGTCCCAATGAGAGCCATGGCTTCAACTTAAATGTTCGGCGGGTGTTCCCGTCGTGGTTCGCACGAGCTCAAACCGGACCGGGTGAAAAGCTTTGGACGGACTACCGCCGATTCCTGCATGAGTGGATTTATTTCCTCAGCTGCGGACAGTGTGGTGGGGAAAAGACATGCGAAATATTGCCATACATCGGACAATTGGATCGCATATGGTTCGGGGCGCTTGGTTTGAACAATTTCCTATCTCGATTGGAGGGCAGATGCACAAGTTTTGCTTTCCAAACGGATGTTAATTCTGATGATGTTCAGTATGTTTTTGATGCGGTCAATGAGGCGGGAGATGAAATCATGATATTACGGATACAGTCAGTCAATATGTTTTTCTACCATTTGATCGCTGAAGTCAACCTCCAGGGTATCAAAGCCAAAAGCTCGTGTCAACAGGATATCCATCCTCAAATGCTCTTGCGAGAGCTGGATTCTATCTAACGAACACCCCCCAAATCTCAAGAAGAAGCAGACTATACAACTTACTACCAGTAGTTGCAACTGGGACTTGTACGCAAAGTCCGTAACCGACCCTGCCTTACAGACAGGCAAGGCTGCGCCAGCTGCTTTTGGACCAGATTGTCAAACCCTCCGGATTGGCACCCGGCTGTATTACAGGCGAGCCGATAATGGCACATTTGTCGCCATTCCTGGGCAATACTTTCTGTGCGATCCACGCTCCATCTACATCGAGGAGTTTGCACGCCATCGTCAGTTCCTCGTTCTCACTTCCCGGGCGAATATTTCCAAAGGAGATCTCAAAGTGACCCGGAACAAAGCAGACGGGGCGGGCGATGAAGACGACAACCTAGATACAGGTACCGATGAAGATTCACGGGTAGGAGGGGATGAACTCGATGCGGATTCAGAAGATGAAGACAGTTCAATAGTGATTGCATCAGATTCGGAAGGGGATGAACTTGACGAGGACCCAGAAGATGAAGACAGTTCAATAGTGATTGCATCAGATTCAGAAGGGGATGAACTTGACGAGGACCCAGAAGATGAAGACAGTTCCATAGAGACCGCATCAGATTCAGAAAATGAGTTCGATGGTGGAACTGAGTCGGAAGACTCGGGCAACGAGAGCACAAGTGAAGGCAGCACCGATACCTCCGCTAATTTTGAATTAGAGGACGATATACTCCCTCCATGGGCCACTCACTTTGGCAGCGAAGACATGGACACGGACAACGAGAGCTGTCGTTCCTTTGATATCAGTGGTTTCGGTGTTGACATTGATGCCGAGGACCGCGATGACATTTCCGATCAAGAAGAGGATTTAGAAAGTAGTTCCGATGAAGACGATGCTATCCCATCTGAGGTGTTCGACAATAACCTCTTTCGCGACGAGGAACAATACGACTGGGAGGGACTGTCGAGTAAACGCGCAGAGAAGCGAAAGGCTCGAGCAACCATCACTGTGTTTGACACTCAATCGTGTAGTCGTCTCTTCCGCCTGAGGCGGCCAATCAAGTGTAGACTGTTTGCTTCGCCGCCTGTCTTCCACCCCACGAAGTCCCTGGTCGTCTGGCCACTTGCCGATGGCGATGTCTTGTTTGTGGATTACTTGGCTAAAACGTACTTCACCCGGCGGCTGCAGCCATCAACCCCGCACAGTAAGTCCGATAAAAGTCGGAGCAATTGATGCTGATGATCGATATCAGCGGGTCATGTCTTCATGAAAATCCATTTTTCTAAATGTGGTGAATTTTTGCATATCGCCACCCTTGAAGCACAAGGGAAGGCTGCGGAAATGAAGAAGGACTCAGAACCCTTGCCTCCTATCAAACTAGCTGTCCTCGTGTGCACATACCGTCTCTCTCGGAGAAAGACTGCCAGGTCACCCCCGAAGCAGATCCATCGCATGAAGTTAGCGTTAGGCCAAACCACACGGCTGCACGTATCAATGATGCCATTCACGTTGACTTGGACATCGAGGGACCTCTACTTCAGTTGCAGCAAAAGGTCGCTGCAAATTTACCGCATTCCGTTGTTCAGTACAACAGAAGAGAAGGCTGAGGAGGATCTACAGCCCGTGTGGACGCCTCGGAAGCCATTCTTTCTCCCACACAGTGCAAGCAACCGAACGGTATACTATTTCCCTCCCACGGAGAACAAGAGCGGCAAGGAGCAATTACCCGCACGCATCCTCATCGGAAGCGACTTTACAGCATTGAAGGATATTAAACCGAGTGAAGCTGAAGAGGAATACGGCGTTTTGTTAGTGAAACGCGTCATCGAGCACTCTGCTGGCAAAAGAGGAGAATTTCATCCACCTATTGGGTGCTATGTCGATGAAGACACCAACCTCGGCGGATGGGTTGATTCTCATGCCCGCGCAAGTATTTTACAAGATCACGGCGTTGGCCATTTAGACCCTCACATGCCAGTGGAAAACTTCAATCCCGATGATGATTGTGACTGTGAGTGTTACTGTCAGACTACGTGCATGGTCCCTTGCATTCTCATTTCTGTTCGCAGTGGAACCGTTCATCTATTGATTATACCAACACTGGGAACTAGAGCAGCACTTACAATGTTGATACCAGTTTCAGAATTCATGTACTTACTCAGTCTCCATATGTCAAGTATGCCGATTCATTCTTCCTCTAAATGTAGTTGAACTCCAGAAACCAAGGCTCACCAGTACCCCGAGTGACAGGAGAAGTGACCAGCTGAGCGTTCGCTAGCACGCTGTCGACAGACGAAGAATCGCAACGTTGTTTCTTCTAACTAAGTCGCGCGCAGTCTTGAAAACTGATTCTGAGATATCCAACGAGTCGAAGTACAAGTTGTAGTGATTAGTGTTGTACGACTGCTACGTGGTGCCTTAACTGCTAGTCAACTGCTAGCGGTATTGTTTATCCTTTTCGTTGAAGAGTAATACTCGTCTGTAGCCTCTTGATATATAGCTCTCTCGATCGAATTCAGGTTCAAGTGCCTGTACTATCACATACTACTACGACCGGCATGTCATTGCATCGCATATTTCCTGTACAGACACCAGATTATCTACTTTCCTGCCAATTTTCATCATGGTATCCAACATTTTCCTCCATCAGTATCAAAAGCACTATAATCCGTCCATTGGATCAACCATTCAGGGAATATCTCGACTCGGATGGCATTTTCGTACCAGAAGGCTCGGAAAATCCGTCAGTTGATTAGCTATATCATTTGTCTCAGTCGTACTCACTTCCCACCGTCAGTCCCGCAGAAAGCTCTCTTTCGGATCAAGAAGATGAGGACGACAACGAAGATGACGCTTGCAGTCGGACGAACTTCTCCTTCCCCGATCTAGATGAGCGGATAAGACAAGTCATCAAAGAATACGGCGCAGTCTTCCCTAAGCTCAATTTTTCTTCACCAAAGGTCAGCCCATTGCACCATACATCCTTGTTCGCATCAAACAGTTGACAGGATGCATCATGGGTGCTACCACCATCCTCGCCTCTCAAATGCACATCTCCATCAGATGTCTACATCCTACTCAAATCCTCAGACTTCATATCACACGATCTAAGTATCGACACGGTGTTTGAGGGATGCCAATACGATCCCTCGAATCCGCCGTCGTATCAACTCGAGCTTGTCTTGCGGAAAAATGGTATCCTATAGACAGCAGCCGCGAGTTCAGGTGTTTCGTCCGTGAAGGCCGTCTCGTAGGTACGTCCTGTTATCTAATTCTCGCTCAGGCACTACGATGATGCTCGTGCAGGGATATCACAACGCGATACGAATTTCTACGACTTCATGAACGAGCCCCAAACACAAAAACAAGATCGTAGAGACGCTTCAGCGTTTGTGGGAAGAAAAGATCAAGTCCAAATGGCTATGGGCAACAAGACTGTATGTATCACATTGTCTTTTTCGTAGTTCGTGCACTCATCACTCTTATGAAGACATCTTTGATGTGTTGATGACGCGTGATCTGTCTCGGGGACATGTCCTAGACTTCAACCCATACGCACCCCGGACAGATCCCCTCCTATTCACGTACGAAGAGCTCTTGTCGGTCTTCACACGTGGGCTGAGCGTACCCGAGCTCCGTATCATTGACTCACCTTTACATCCGGTCGCATCGCGCAACGCACCAGCTCACCAGCACAACATGTTGCCAATCGAAGCCCTCACGCTGAGTAGCGGTCGGGACATCAACGACTTCTCAGATTTGTGGAAGAAAGAGATTCAGCAGTCCATGAATGATGACGATTAATAGACGTGGCCATCATCAGATCTTACCCCGAACGGATTTTGTCAAACCTGAGCTTCGTATCATCACCCAGTCGCAGCACGCAAACCCACCAACCCACTAAACATGTTGCCAATCAAAATCCTCGCACTCAGTAGCGGTCGAGACACCAACATATTCTCAAATCTACCGCAGAATAGCATTCAACCTCCATGAGTGTGGCCAGCGAATTCATTCATTTTGTCGTCCATTAGAATTATCGTAATCGTAGGACTCTAATAATAATCCGCCAGACCCCCTCGTCCCAAAGACGCGACACCATCTATGTTATGGACCATAATATAGGAAATAGCCCAGCGGGCGATCTACAGGTATCTCTATAACGCACGGTTACGCTTTTAGATCTTGTCAATCTCAATACCAGAGTCACTGGCGCTACCATCAGTGAACGCAGGGCGAGTGGCAGCGAGACCGGAGGAATTCTTGTAGAAAAGAATATTACCCTCATCCTCAACAAACTAAACGATGTCTCAGAACATATACCAGACAGAATTAAAAGTATACTGACTTTGCACTCCTTGAAAACCCTGTAGACTTCTCCCCACCCGCCCGGAGCACCCTCGAGCTTAATACCTGCTTGCTCAAGGCGCTTACGAAGAGCATCAGAAGCTTCCCAGGCGTTGTAGTGAGGGATCTTGCTGGAGACGTGATGAAGGACGTGGGTCTCGGAGATACCGTGGGTAGCATAAGCACCGATCCAACCCATAATCGAGCCACAGCCACCAAGGAGGTTGCGGTCCAAAGTAGACAGAGCACCACGGGGGAAAGTGAACTCAGAGGCACGGTAGTGGGGGAGAAGCGGGTCGGTATGTTGGAGGAACGTAATGAGGACAAGCCAGTGGTTGACCCAGAGGTAAGGCACCAGGTAAAGACGGAACACGGTCCAGAACCCGTATGCATAGATGGAGCCGGTGATACCAGCGAGCCATAGCACGATACCGATATCAGACAGAACGATTGACTCGCGCTGGTGAGGTGCGAACATCACAGCATCAGGGTTGAAGTCTACAAAACCAAATTATTAAATTATTTTCTTTTCAACACGAATCGTTACTCACGGTTGGTGCCTTTGGGGTAACGCTTCTGACCAGATGCATTGCGGATAAGGTATGCAGGCCAGCCGCCAAGCTAAAAACACCGTTAGCCTCAATCACGTAGATCTCATCCAATTTGCCTAACCAAATATGTAGCAGCGCCAATCGTTGCGCCAATAGGAGAGTCGCCCAGCGCCTCCTTCAGCTCCTTCATTACTTCGTCCGAAACACTCGAACCAAGAATATCCTCTTTTGTCGGGTCGAATGCGGGCAAGCCGAGTTGCGAACGTGTCTTGGGGACAAAGACCTGATCCTGAGTCATATGAGCAGTTGAAGCATGATGTTTCGCATGTGTGATCCTCCACGAATGGTATGGTACACCAAGCCTAAATAATTAAGGTATTGTCAATCACGTGACTGAATGAAATAAAATTTGAGACCGCACGCGGAATGCAGGACCCAGCCAACACTATTGTTGATCAACTTGGACTCGGAAAATGCTTGGTGGCCGCACTCGTGAGCAATGACCCAAAGGCCAGTGGCAAAGAGACCCGTCCAGAAGGTGTACCCCGCCCAGAGAGACAAGCGTGCAGCGGGATAGAGCAAGGGATGAGGGAGGGAAACGTGTTCGGGGGAGATGAGGGTGTCTAGATAAGTTGCGGTCTTGTAGATACCCGAGATCACCACTAGGTCGTAAACACTAATCATCGTGAAAACGCGTCAGAGCCAGCTATCTTGGGCAAGCATTAACCTACATATATAGCGACGACCGCAACGCTGAACGCTTGAAGCAGCGAGCGCTGAAAAAACCAACAGTGATAAGTGTCTGGCCCGGGGATGCATTGAAAAACGCGTGCAGACTTACGGGATAGCGCTCAACAGGTCCTTAATCGTGAGGTCGGGTATAACCGCAGACATTCTGTTTTACGGTCGTAACGCCTTTCTCTGATCGTCTGACATGATTCAAGTCGTTGTAGCAGACTCCGTCTAATCCGAGCTTCTAAGGAAAAAAGGAAGGGAGAAAGAGACAAAGGAAAGCAGACGAAGTAGAGTGTTCGAGTCTATTTATTGGGGTAAAAGAATTGCTCCGGTGATAACCGAGGGCACACGTGGTTAAGTTACATCCCCACCCAGTCGGAAAACACACTACAAGTTTCATTGCATGAATCATGCACGCTGTTCATGGTGAGGCCGGTGAGGATGTAAGCGTTTACAAACGTTTAAGCTTCATTCACGAGATGTTCGAATCATATTAACATGTTGCGATATGGGGCAGGAGCAAATTGCTATGTATATATATATATTGTCAAAATCCAAGACATGAGTGTGAGATTTCAGGCAACAAGGCCGTGCGTGTGAGGCATAACAATCCGCTAGAACACTCCAGTCTCACTAATGAAGGGGGCCTGGTAAACGCAAGTACTCCCTTCCAGCACTCTAATTTAACGCCTGTAGCCTCGCAGCTAGTCCCTCCAAAAACGCAAACCCATCCTTGGTGATAGTCCTGCCACTACTCTTGTTGGTAATAGCGCCAAAGTCAGCCACGAGATTCGCAAGCACCCTATTACTCGATGCAGTTCCTACTTCTCGACGAAGCCTTGCAACCACGCCCAACTTCACGTGCGCTGGTTGGGGGGCTCGATCGTCCTCTCGATTAGCACTTCGTAAAGTCCGAAGCGGGTGTACGAATATCGAAGGGTCTGCGAGCTGTTTGTACAGCGCATCCAGGAAGGCGAAACCCTCCTTAGTGAGCGTCCTTGAGCCCAGTTGCAGGAATTTCGTGAACTCTTCCACGGCGACTGCAAGAGCAGCGTTATCCGTTGAATCAAGGACCGAAAGCTTGAGTTTCTGCAGCTGACTGGCTTTCTTCGTTCGTACGGGAGTGCGGGGTGGAAGGGGTTGACCATTTGGCTTCAATCTATCGTCCTCGGAGCTGTCGCTTACGGATATGATTTCGCTACGCTTTTTAGCGTCATCTTTTCGCGCAGGGGCAGGGACATTAGTTTGGTCCCCAAGTATCGGGCGAGGCGGGTTGAGCTGGAGCTTGGCCAAGTCATTCAGGACGTTCTCCATCTCATCTGCATCAATCGCGGGCCGTGTAGGAGCAGTCCGCGCGACTTGAGGTTGAGCCTGAAACAAAATCGAATAAACCCAAACTCAGGTGCACTGACAAACCCTCGTACCTTGGGAGCTGGTGGTGGTGGCCAGATTAAAGCGCTCAATATCGGTGAAGCCACTGTCCTGTGCGAGCGCCTGGAACTCGTCCTTCCAGTGGTCGTAATCAGGACAGTCAAAGAACTTCAGCCGTCTGCAATACCGCAGGAACTCCTCAAACTCAGAAGGTATTCCCTTGCACAGGTCTTCAGGTTGAGCATTCTTTTTCGCTCGCTTGATGCGATCATGCCGCTGAGTCTGTTTTCGGTATACCGTTCCGTGTCCACGAGAGTCCTCCAGGCGTAAGAAGATGTATGAACATCAGTGCGGCGGCCTCGAGATCATCTCGCCTAGATGGTACTGCGGCAGTTTAAATAAGTAGCCGTAACACATAAATAAACCTAGGATACTGACCTTTGCCTTTACAATGCACGTTAACAGACGTAAACCAGTAGTTGCCCAAGAAATCTCTCTTCTGCTTTGAGTCTGGAATATGCCGCCGCGTGTGCGGATCGATATAGCGTTAGAAAACCCAAAGTCAATCATATAGATGGTTTCTTCTTCAGGTGTCAATCCGATAGCACAGTTCCCAAGCTGTATATCGCGATGCAGAACTTCACGGTTGTGCATGATCTGTAAGCGTGCGATCTGTATATTCGATCCATGTCAAGGTTATGCTATCGATCTGAAACCAGCGAGCAAACTTACCACCTGGATCGCAATAGAGCATACACTGCGAAGATCCATCCTCGGGTTCCCCCACTGCAGATTTTGTCGGTAGATACTCTCCAGACTCTTTCCGAGGAGACTTATGACTAGATAATGCCATTTTCCCTCTATACCGCTCGCCCATAACCGAGGCATGCCCTCTCCTCCTTGCAGTAGAGGATAGATGGCTTGCTCATAGCGATTTGTTGGGCACTCGTGGTCGACGTCTTGTACTTTGAGCGCAACGGAAGTACCATCGTGAATGTGATATGCCTTGAAGATAGAGCCTGGGATGATATGGCTTAGGTGAGGAATAGTGTTGAGTGGGCGCAATACGTACCCGAATAGCCTGACCCAAGTCGGTCTTCTAACCAGTAGTTGCCCATTTTACGAGGAATAGTATCCGAGTTGTGTGCCATTATACCGGCTGACCACTGGTCCTAAGTTATGGAGGTGCTATTGGTAGCAGGGTTGAAGTGACGAGTGACCAACAGTGAAATTAAAATGGCGGTTTTATGGCAGAATCTAATGTGGGTATTGAAGCAGTACAATACTATATTGTGGACGGTGGGTTGATGCGGATTGTGGATAATAGGGTTGATTCGGATTAGAACAGATGGTTGCTGGTGGTTGACGCGCCAATTGCCTGGAACGCGTCAGTCACGTGTCAGGTTGAAATGTACGAACTGGGTGAGGAACATTGGAACACCCACAGTGTCGGTTCGAACCACCAAGTGTGTAGAATCTGTTCGCATTTTCCTCGTGTTTCTGGCCACAACACGATGATCAATGACACAAAGCGGAGTCGTTTTCATTGTAATATTACAGTAATTATACAGTTTGAATACACAAAAGACTTTTGATAATGATTCAGAGTGCTTGCCCCGCCGCGATCTTCGCAGTCAAGTCCGCAGCTGCTTGCAACGCACGGGGTGTGTCGTACTTGTCCATGATAACTTCGACCAACTGTATCTTCCCCGCACTGGCGAATTCTTCATCGTCGAGAAGCTTGTTGAGCTCTGACTTGCTGCGGACCGTGTACGACTTTGACATCTTGCCCTCCATATCACCGAGAGTAGTGAGGAGCGAAGTCCATTTCCTGAGGGAATATTTGAGCAAAACACAAATCAAGAGAGTGACACGTATCCTACCAGTCCGCAATGTCGTTGTACTTCCTGCAATAATTCGTGAGCTGTCATGAAGTGGTCTGTCTTATTAGTGAACACTCACCTATTTAGGCCGTGCAAGTGCCTCTCGATGTTGTAGCCCTTATTATTCAGCACGAAGATTGTTGGCGTCAACTTGTGACGGGTCATGGTTGAAATCTCTTGCACAGTCAGTTGCCTACCACATGAAATATTCAAGTAAAATTCAAGCACAATGGATGGACTACGCACATGCTACCATCACCAGTGAATAATATGGTGCGCCCAAGATGTTTGTCGCGGGCTGCGAGCGCTGCACCAAGTGTGCTGGCTACAGTCATTTCCGTCAGATACAGGTCCAGTAGAGAAACTTCAATATATTTACCGGTTGCCCATCCAATGCTTCCATACAAGATTTGGCTGACGAAAACGGACTCGTCAGGCATTGGAACATCCAAAACTCCAAAGTTTGAAGTGCCTAGAAGTATGGTTCACTCTACATTTTGAAGGACAATAGATGAGTTTCGACTCACCAGTCTCAGCAACGATGATATCCTGCTTCCGGAAGAATTTGCCCACCCGAGGCCAGAAATAGGCATGCGAAATCTTGTCGTCACTTTCCTTTGGAAACATCTAGCCTATAATGCGGAACAGGGATTCGTGATGCAACCTCCTGATATTTACTCAGCCTCTCCGTGAGCTTCGGGAGGAGCGACTTCATTCCTATACCCGGGAATTTTGCGTGGCGAACAAGTGTGTGGTCGGAGTGAAGCTGCAAAAATCACCTAAGCGTCGAAAACTGGCATGTCATGGAAAATTACCTCGATTGTGTGCGTCGCAGGAATATGGTACGTGAACATTCCCGTATTAAAATCTGACTTCAACGCGCCAATCGAGAGGATAAGGTTTGCGTTTTCGACCCTCTCCTTGATGGACGGATCCGTGACCGAACCGATTATAATCTACAGAAGCGTCAGAACGGTCTTGAGCAAAAAAACAGGGATGAAAACTCACACCGCCATATCGTTCATGCTCCTCGCTCACTGCCGTCTTTCCCATGGGTGCTGCGTATACAGGAAACCGTGTTTTCACGAGAAGGTCGTTGACTTCCTGGCGCAAGTCGTGACGAATAGCGCAAGCATCGACAAGAACAACGATGTCCTGTTTAGCATCATCCACGAGCTCCATGATCTCGTCGAGAACATAGCTCTCAACGTCGGGGTCATTAGGAGGAGGGGCTCGTGAAAGCTCGACCTTCAAGCGTTTCGCAGGGATTTTTTCGGAGGTGAGGGTCCATCGGAATGGTGAGGTAAACGGGGCGAGCCTGCGAGACATTCACTGCTTGAATGGATGGAGGCAGTCAATCAGGACTTACATTAGTAATGCACACCGTGAGGATTCGATCAATTTCGGCTGCAGCTTGTGTTTTATTCATAAGTATAGCCTGTGCAATGGTGACATTTTCCGCAGCTTTCGTGTATACATCGAATCTGACGAATGTAAGATACTGGATCAACAAAGAGGAGAAATACATACTTTCCATTGCCAAGTGTGTGGTGGAGCATGGGCTTATTCTTCAACTGCGTAGTGCTAGGCACTCCGACGATATGAAGAACAGGGACCATTTCAGAGAACGCTGATTGATCTGTGAGTTATCCCTCGCAAGAACGACGAGTAACAATCACCGCCTGCAACTCCGTTGATAGCACTCAATTCGCCAACGCCGAACCTGTAAATCGTTGAGGTCACTGGTAGATAATGCTTATCGACTACCAAACATACGTTGTCACAACCACGCCTATGCTGTGTTCTTTGACACGGGCGTATCCATCAGCTGCGTAAGCTGCGTTCAACTCGTTGCTATAATGGTGTAAGATAGAGTGTCGCCGACATGATGAACTGATTACCAGGTCCCAATCCATTCAATTGTAGGATGGTCTTCAATGTAGTCCTAAGGATTGAAGTATGGAACATCAGTGCTAGCTGCGCTGTTCATATGCGCAATAATTTACCAGGAAAGCTACACAAGATCGTCAGTATACAAAGTTGTCGATGATTAATGGAACCATACGCATGTTGAAATCCCCAGGTACTCCAAAATGGACTGTGGGCAACAAGTGGGTGAGTTCAATGAACATGACTGAAGGGGATGCATACCTTCACGTTGAGCTGTTCCAATCTCTTCAAAATGTACTCAGAGATGGTGATAAGCTCATCGTCTTCGCTATGATGTTGTGCTTTCAAGGTTTGAAGCTCGTGCTGAAGTCGACCGACTTCAGCCTGGAGTTGCTTGGCTGCAGTGTCCATGGTTGTGGTTAGATTGCGAGTCTCAGGAGAAAGGGGGCAGTGAATTGAGAGATACCGTCACGGTTTTTATACGGGAACAACGTCATACAATGACATACACATATGTCTTGTCCCGTTAGGCGCACGACGGCGAAGACATATATAGTATAGCCCCTGGCAAGGCCCAGCAGGGCCGGTCTAAAGAGATTCTAGATAGGCCTCTGACGTCATTACCGTGTGATCGATTGGCCTGGCCCCATCGATATCGACCAATTGCAAGGATCTCTTAAAGCTTAAAAAGACTCGGAATCCCGCTTCTCTCCTCCTGGGTTTCTCAATCCAATCGATTCCTCTGTTTCCTCATGGTCGGGAACAGCCAATATTGAGTCTGACCGGAATTTAACGACTCTGTCGCAAGATGCGAGCAAATTCTGGTATTAGTCTCAATCAGTACTCAGCTGGCAACTGTCAGGATACAGCTCCGCCCATTCATCATCTAGAACCCCCATATAGACAATATCCTCCCAATGTCCATCTACCCAATTCCCCCGTCGTTTCCTTCCCTCCACCTTAAAACCTCTGGGGAAAAAGTCATAAAACGTGCCCGCATCATAAATTTATTAGCCACTTACAATTTGGCATAAATCGCTCGTGCTCTGGCATTGCCTTCCGTAACATCCAAAGAGATACGTTGCAATCCGAAATATTTGAACGCATAGTTTACAGTGAAGCGCGTGGCTTCCGTTCCATATCCCTTCCCCCAGAACCCAGAGGCGATGGTTATACCCAAGCGTGCGTCCCGGTTCTTCGCCTCCAATAAATTGATGCAACAGAAACCGATAAAATTCTCTGACTCCTTGTGTACCAAAGAAAACCAGAGCGCTGAGCCCTCGGCAAAGGTCTTCATATACTCCTTGTACTTTGAGGATGGTGGAGGCGCGATAGCTGAGAATGTCTGAGTGCGTTGGACGAGGGGGTCGTTCCGCAGAGCAAGGATTCCCTCTAGATCATTGTCTTGGAATCCGCGGAGGATGAGGTTCTCTGTGTTAAACATACTCGACAGAACAAGTTGCGCAATACCGAAGGATAATGCAGCAGAGAGCCGTAAGCGCTGGAAAAGCAGTGACTGTAGAACCTTTCATGACCATAATTGACCAATTGATCAAAATGACTCGGCATTTGACTCGATTACGGCGATGCTAGCATGCGACACCTAGTAGTAGTGTCAGTGATTGCACAAGTCCTGTCACTGAGCCGTTCTCGGTATTTGCCGTTTTTTTTTTACTTCTAAGTCGTGCTATTGGTTGCAGCGACCAAAATCTGCACCTGTTGGGACATTCATGCCATCCCAACAGAAGCTGGGCTTGAAGCTTGAAGGCTTACTGTCCGAGGTTCCAGAACTCATGAAATGATAAATGTACGTGACATGTTTCTTAAAACTTTTCGATCCTTTCAACATCAATATGCTAGAGTGATCGTATAGCGCAACATCCAGCCAAGCTCAGGGAAGCCCATTGACTACCACCGGGCTTCTTCGATGGCGCGCGAGACAGTGTCTATGTGAGTCATCAGCATTTTTGAATGTCTCTTGTTCTCACCTCTGTACCCAGTCCTTAGCTACGCACGCTATTCATCACCATTCCTCTGAACATCACCATCGCGGTGCTCGCACACCTTCGGGGCGTCCAGTTGCCTTCCTCGGTCGCCTTTCGTCGCTTTTTTGTCACTCACTCCAACACCAACCAGGCAACCGAACTCCAGTTGCGCCCAAGGCGAAGTATCTTTTCACCTCATGGTCCTCATGTTGTTGGAGTAACTGCAGCTCGAGACAAAATAGGTATATTTTTCTCGCGTACGTTCCGATCATCAATGATGCCCCTGCATTGGCTGTTGCTTCGCGGCCGGAACAAGAACGTTCACACACTCAGCCTGCTAGTACTACCATACCAGGTGCAACACCTGCGCAGTCACAACCCATCCCTCATGTCGTACTTTTCTTGTACTTCTCATCCACCGGCGAAACCAACACAGCAGCACCAGCAAGCCTATCCCAAGGCCGAGTACCGACCCAGGCGTCATCATTGCGCTACTAGTTCCACGCCAGGTGCAGCAACTGAATAGTCACGACCCCCTCCATTACGGACCCGTTTCGTGCTTTTTCTTCGCTGTGTATTTCCATCGCATATCGTTGGTCATTAACGCTACAACACGTGGACAATGTTCCTTACGAACATGAACTTCTTCAATTCCAACCAGACACTCACTGATCAATGCCGATCGAACACCAGGTTTGTGAGCCATGATTCTCGCAAAAAAATTCAATGTGTCGCATGATATTGGCGTAGACGAAGCAGGCAGTAAACCTCTACGAGTATCGCAGATACCATGACTGCGGTAATAAAGTATGCATCGTGTTCTTGCACGCCTTCGCCAGGCGAGGAAAGGGTGATACAAATTCCGAGTATTCACACTATGTGTAATAGCCAGCTGAGTCTTACTCCAGTGTTTCTATTTTACATGGTGTGAGTTCCATATAGAGGATACTGGGGGTATGTTGATATGAACAGCCACATGACGGCCTTAGATACCTAGGACGCTGAACATCCTGAGGATGGAGGAAAGCTGATGGAACAGCATCGCACCACTGACCTTCTCCTTCTATGAGAATGCATGTGAGTTAGAACCGTAGTTCGGAGAGCAATTGTTTCACTGACCAGAATATGATACGAGAATTGTGTTCGATGGATGTGACTGACTGGATGTGGTAATATAGATAACAAATTATCCTTTGATACTCGGGTGGAGAGTGCTCTATATTGGGTGATAGCTACGAGTCGCGACGTCGGCTCATCTGCCATGTAGACTGTAGAACAACAGGTAGGGGAGTTTAGCAGGAAGCTCTGACATGAACGAACGGAAGAGTCCGAGAGGCTAATACCAAAAGGGACCTGCTCGATCTGATTCTTGCTTTTAAAGGTTACGGCAAGTTGATAAGGGTTTTAACACATGTTGGGGGAGAGCTGGCAGCTGACCAGCACCAACCGGTCACCTACCGCACATGGCCGATCAGGATGTACCCAGAAGCGAAGTTCCTTTCTGGTGAGCGGCAGTAGGAGGGTCGACTGTTTAGCCAACATCCTGGCACATCACGACCATTCTAAACGTCGACTGCCATCGAGTAATGGCAACATGTCTCGGAAGAACACAAGAAGTGATGCCGCATACTGTGCTTACCACCTTCTTCGGAGGGGGTCCGAGTCCATTGTCCTCGGCCGCTCTCACCTCTAACACCAATGAAGCAACCGAGCTCCAGCGGACAGCCAAGGCGAAGTATTTTTCTCCTCATGGTCCTCGTGTTGTTAGAGTAGCTGCACTGGTACGTAACAAAAAGGTATGGCTTTCTTCGCGTGCGTTTCTGATCTCCGTGGCTCAGTGATTTTTCTGCAGCTACTGACTGTTGCTCCGCGGCCGGAACGAGAACGTTCACACGCTCAGCATGATGCCAGTTGGTATACTACCATATCAGGTGCAATACCCGCGCAGTCAGGGACCCATCCCATGGCAGGACCATGCATACTTTTCTCTGCTGTGGATGATCTACTCCACCTGCAAAATAAACACAGCAGCAACAACAAGGCCAATCACAAGGCCAATCACAAGGCCAAGCCCATATCCAGGCGTCATCATTCTAAACTCGTTCTACTGCTACATCGATGTCCACGACACCTCCTGCTCCTGCTACGAGTACTGCCATACCAAGAACAGCAACCACGCAGCCACGACTTCTTATGTTGCGAGCTCGTTTCGTCCTTTTTTCTCTGCAGTATATCTCCCTCCCATCATTAACACTGCACGCCACTGAACAAGCACCTGCACTCCATCACGAAAGTACCCAGCCCCACCTGCCAGCAATGTCACCGACGCGAGGAAACCATCCATCACTTCATACTCGCCCAATGTAGCAAGAGAGCACGCACAGAATGGAACAGATGTTCGGTGACGTCACGCCAACATGCAGACGACGAGAGAATGAACGCACACAATCCTTAACCCTGTCGCCTTTAGCTGGCCTTACCCGTCCTCGCATTTTGCCTGGACTAATGAACGCACACAAAACGACCATAGAAACACAGAGCTTCATAAGTAAATACTTGTATGTTTTGTCTACCACAGGGCGTCGCCCCAACGGACAATAAACGCTGATAAAAAAAATAACACTGCAGCACGGTGAACTAAATCCCCGCGTGAAGACTGCTAAGAGCTCTTCGTAGGTGAATGGGAGGGAGTCGGTTCAGGATGCATATGGGTCGAGGTCGAGGACGTGTCCCCGAGCAGATCACACGTCATCAACGCATCAAAAATGTCTTCATACGTGAGATGAGCGTAGGAATCACGACAGACAGTGCGATACATAAATACAGTCGTGTTTCCATTTGGACTTGATCTTTTCCTTCCAAAAATGCTGAAGCGTACTTGTGTTTTTGGCTCCTTCATGAAGCTGTAGGAATTCGTGATGATGCCTGCATGGTACAAGCGTCATCGTCATCGTCATCGTCTTACTTGAGCAAGGATTGGACCTTCGCAAACGAAACACCTGAACTCGCGGCTCCCGTCTATAGGAGACCATTTCCACAAGATAAGTTCTAGTTGATACGATGGTAGATTCGATGGATCACATTGACGTCCCTCAAAGACCGTGTCGACACTCAGGTCGTGCGATACGAAATCTGAGGATGTAGACGTCTGATATTTGAGACGAGAGTATAGTGGTAACACCCATGATACATCCTATCGACTGTTCGATGCCAACGGGTACCTCCTTGGAAAACGAAAGTCCACCCTAGAAATAGGCGCTGTTCCATAACCTGCAAACGTGTTGGAAGAGTTGATGACATCAAGTTCAGGGGTAGTCTGGATGAAACGTGCAATGGGTAGGGGAGTGCAACACCGCGTCGAATGTTGGCTATAACTATCAAACGTAGTTCTGACGTATAGGAAGATGGACATAGCACCGGTCAGACCTGAGCGCTTGATCTACACAGCATTAAGTTGTGAAGTGAACACGAGGATGACGCATGGGACGCACCTTGAAAGATGCTTGAATGAACGGATGCCCAACTTCCTCAACTACCAACCACACACCTCTCAGTGATCGCTGGTGATTGAGGGTTCGTCTAAACGGTGTCACTCGTAAGTGACATTCTGGGCTTTTTGCAGGATACAACTGACGACATGCTTACCAGCAACCCACATAAAAATCTCTTGCACATTCTAATTTCTCAAATAACGGCGCAGCACCTCCTCCATAGACAGTCCCGAAGTTAGCTTCTAGGTAAGGATTGAATCCTGTAAGGCTGTCTTGGTAGCAATGGCTTGTGTGCTCTGACAAGAACTGAGATGAAAAAGACAGGTTCCTAAACTCACCAGCAATTATTGCTGTTCCCGGATCCCGCCTCTCTCGCATACATAGTCCCCAATCTGCTGTAGTTGAGATACCGAGCACCGGTCATGTCTTCCTTCACCAGTGAAACGCCAGCAATCACGCCACGTCAGAAAATGCAAGGTCACTCCAACTGGGTAAATGATGTTGTGCATCTGCACGGTGGATGTCACATCATCACATGTTCGACGGATGGCTCACTCCGACTATGGGACTTAGAGAGTGGTACACAGATAGGAGAGGACTGGCAAGACGAGGAGGATGAGGCAGGAGTGCGGTCCATGGCATTGTCTCCAAATGGTAAGACAGTTGCAAGTGGATGCGATGACGGAAAAGTGAGGTTGTGGAACGTCGAGACGAGGGAGGTCATCGCGAAATGGACAGGACATACCGATCTTGTGGGTGCATTGTGCTGGAGTGCAGATGGTAGTCGAGTTACGAGCGGATCCTGGGATGGAACGACAAGAGTCTGGGATGTCATGAGCGGCGAAACTGTCCTGACGATCGAAACCGGGCACCAGTGGGTGAACACGGTGATATACTCACCCGATGCAACAAAAATCGCAATGGGCGGACGCAACGAGGATGCAGTCAAAATCTGGAACACCAAGCCAGTTGAACTGTTGAGCACCGCTCAAACACAATCATCCTGTTTGGAGCTTGGCATGGACGTCGGACGGAAAGAAACTTATCTCCGGTTCATATGGCCCGATTAGGATATTCAACACAACCACTTGGGAGGAGGTCGCTATCCTGGAGGGTCACACAACCCATATCAACGCCATCACCTTGTCTCAGAACAACCGCCTCCTTGCAAGTGCATCATATGGCAACACGGCGCGTCTATGGAATCTAGACACTGACCTCCCAATTGGACCGCTCTTTCAACACGAAGATGCATTGTGGTGTGCAGCCTTTTCCGCTGATGGAAAGCTGTTAGTCACTGGTTGCGAAAACAAAAACGCGTACACATGGGACATTTGCGCCATTCTCAAAGATGCAAGCCTTGAAGACCTCCTCCAACCTTTATCTGATGTAAAGTTCATGTTTCTTCAGTCAAAACTATGATAATCTCCCGCTCGCAGGTTGCAACTCAAGAGTCATTAATGGACGTACGTGATTTGTTTCTTGACCTTCCCAGTGGTTATAACCTTAGTTTTCCATGTAGGCGGATGCTACGCAGGCAGAAGGTGATGACCTTTCGCCAGACTTTTTTCAATGACGTGTGTCGTCAGCATTTTTAATTGGTTCCTGTTCTGACCTCTTGATCTCAGTCCTCCAGGAAGTACGGTAACTATCACCGTTCCTCTTCCCGCCGTCCCCGCCCTCCTCGCACCCTCTTTGGGGAGTGCGAGTGCGCTCTTTGGTCGCCTTTGGTCGCCTTTCCACCGCTCTCACCGGAATACCAATGATGCGACCGAACTCCAGCAACGGCCAAGGCGGACCATCTTCTCTCGTGGTCCTCGTATCGTCGAAGTTGCTGCAGTGCGGGACAGGGAGGTATGTCTTTCTTCGGTGTAGCGATTCCTGGCGTCTGATGATTGACATGCAGGTTTTGTATGTTGCTCCGCCGCCGCCACAAAAAACACAACAGCAAAGCCAATCACATGGCCAGGGATCGTCCGCGACACAGCCTGCTCCAGGTACTGATCCTAATACACCACGTCCAAGACATGCGTATTCACTACCCGTCCGATTGTTGGCTCATCTCGTGCTTTTTTCTCTGCTGCGCATCTCCTCAACATGCAAATGGAGATGTACAACAGCAAGGCCGACCACAAGGTCAAGCCCAGGGCCAGGCGTCATCATCGCAGACTCAGCCTGCAGCCCCCTCAACATCCACGACCCCTCCTGCTCCTGCTCCTGCTCCTGCTCCTGCTCCTGCTCCTGCTCCTGCTCCTGCTCCTGCTCCCAGTACTACCGCATCAGGTGCAGCGGCCATGCAGTTACGCCCTCTTCCATTGCGAGCTCGCTTCGTGCTGTTTCTTTGCTGTGCATATCCCCCACACGCCGATAGTCATTAATATAGGTACACGACTATGTTACCTTTGCTTCTAGGTCTTCTGTACTCTTATCTCTTTCTTCACATCACGGTGATGATGGTTTGTTTTTCTGCAACCCATTCTCCGTCCAGATCTTCATAATTCAATCTTGTCACCTACTAGGAGAATAATCAACGCAATGAAGATCTGGCAGGAGAATCTCTTCAGATACAGCATGTGTCAACCACAAAACCCAGCCCAGCCTCAGGTGTCATCGTTGCAGACTCAGTCTGCTGCCGCCTCGACGTCCGCGACACCTCCTGGTTCTGTGATTAGTCATACCCCACCAAATGTTCCAAACGTGCAGTCACGACCCCTTCCATCGTGGGTTCGCTTCGTACTTTTTTCTTTGATGCGCGTCTCCCCCACGTACCGATGGTCATTAATGCAGCATGTGTACAACACTCTTATAAATGTATATATATATATATATATATATATCTTTTGTATATTATTTTCTCTGTCATTTGCTAATTCATTGACGCCATCTAGTTATAGAGACATCCACTTTTTACGACCTCCTCAACCTTGATTGTCCTTCTGGCAAGTGGTTGTTATAAAGGTGCCATGGCTGCAAATACTGGTGCTGCACGGTCTACCAGTCGCCCCCATCAGCATCCATTCCTCGGGTACCCCTGGTAGCAAGTGTGTGCATCTTGACTTAGGACCTGATCGTTCCTTGCGCCTAACTGCACATGCACACCCCTCCCAATCACAACTGCATTCCTTGTATGTTACCCTCGACCCGTGGGATTGCAATGACACGCTCGCTGGTCCGTTCTGATTCCCCACCGTCGTCTATCTGGAATGCACAGCTGGCATGACGTGTCTGTGCCAGAGTGCTGCCATGCAATTTTAGTGCAGTGCATTGATCTACCGTCTGTGCTGCGACCCGCCGTTTTGCTTCTCTATCCAAACTTTGTCGAAGATTCGTGGATTGCGGACGACGCAGTACTGGAAGTGCTGCCTATTGGACTCTGAGTTATTGTGACATGCTGTTGCTGTTCGATGAAGGTATATCACCGCTGCTGTCACGTCTGACGCAGTTCCTCGTGCTTGAGGGACTTCATGTTTTCTGTATTCGTTGTGACACACGTGTCCTGATGGTGTCTTGTTGCTGCGCATTGGTCTTGGAACACGAACTGAACCACCGTAAAATTTCATTGTTTTTATTAGGCGAACAGTATCGAGACAGGACATTGTTCGGACCGAGAGCTCCAACCCCATATACGATCCAATTGTCCGACGTACGGCAATATTTCGCATGACTTTTCCCCACCACACTGAGGAAATATATCCACTCGTGCAAAAATCGGCGGTAGTCTGTCCAAAACCTTTGATGGGGACCGGTTCGAGCTCGTGCAAACCATGACGGGAACACCCGCCGGACAGATGTGTTGAAGCCATTGCCCTCGTTGGGGCGGGAGAAGAATGAAAATTGTGCTTCTACCCATAGACTCTGGACCTGCGCACAGGTCCTAAAGTTAGGAGAAGTGATGAAGGAACTCAACACTACCTATTTCTGCGATAGTGACGTCGTCAAGGTGCTTGTCCCAGTACTTGACTGCATACACAAGCAAAGGATGACAATCCACCGGGTCTTCCGTCACGTCGAGCCACCTTCCCTCCCGTCTGACTAGTAGGCCGGAATATCGAGATTGACCCAGACAACGTACTAAACAAGCGCGAGCCAGCCACTCGGCACTAATGCGAAGATCTGAAAAATTGTCGCACAGGATATTCGGATGGTCCACAAGGAAATCGCGCAGGGTGGAATGTAAGATACGACAGGTATAGCTGCTCCTCAGTGCTAGAATCATCTGTCCTATTGGTGTTGATGAATTCGATGAAGGGTTGGACTATGGTACGGATGCTGTTGATATTCGGCTTGGCCTTTGCTGGAGTTCTTTGCGGGGCTCACTCTCTAAGCACCATACAGCCTCGGTAAGTTCTTCCAATCACATAGGACGTCACGGGCAAAAATAACAAGTGCAAAAACTTTGCTGCGTAGTTATACGTTCAGGATTGCAAGCATTTGGCAGAGTAAATGACCAACATACCTAGCAGGCGGGAGGGAGAGCGTCTCCATACGCTCGTGAAATCTGCGATAATACTCCACCGGAGTTTCTGGGAGCTCTTTTAGATGTTCCTCCATCCTGGCGGTTGACCAACACCCTCCGAGGGCGTCTACCATGAGCTTCCCAAATAAAACTACACTCGGCACGACGTTTCAGCATCTCCAGGATACGGCCCCAAGCTTAGTCGGAAGGACTCGACCACTGAAGCTTGGAAACCTCTTCTGATAAGTACAAAGCGAGATCGTTCCTTGTGTAGCCGTCAATATCGAGGCTATGGCACCCCCGGAGTTCCTTGCTAATGTGGTCCCGGCGCTGGCCACTACACCAGAGACAGACTCTCGTAGGAGAGTCGTCCACGAGCTTGGCGAGAAAACGAAGCACTAATACAGCATCATCGCATGAACTCTTCGTCGCCGTCTCTTCATCCAGACCGTCGAGAAAGAAGTAGATCCTCGATTATCCCTCGATTACTGCCTTAGTGACGTTTTGAACCCTTTCAAGGAGAGATTCGGGTGTGTGCATAATTCATCTGGAATTTTCTGCAGGTGCTGGCCGTATTGGAGGAGTTGTGTTCAACAATGTCTTTTCTGGAGAAAGATGCTGTGCGAAGTCATAAAAGTGAAACTCACTACATTCGATCCTGAGCTTTTGGCTAGGAATTCGATGGCGCTCGAACACAGGGTCGATTTCCCGGATCCAGGCGGCATTCAAGCGCTATTTGAAAGAGAGGAAGAGGAAAAGACAATGGCAAATGTAGCGTACAGACATCTCTTATTGTAATTCATGGGAAAAAAAGTCCGAAGGTGAACGGAGCGCTTGTAATACATTAAATTGTAATGATGATGACTGCGACAAGGAGGATGCATATGGACTGGATCGAGCAATATGGGCGAGAGGCTGACAAACATGCGAAAAATTGATAAAACGCTACATGGAGACGTGCGAGAGACAGCGATACGGGAAGAAATAACAAGAAGCTTGAGTGCGACAAAAAGTATTACCTTGAGGCATCTCCACATCATGTTCCAGCCATCGATGGCGCCGATTCGTCACAACTGGTAGTTTCCAGTTCCGTCTCAACGGTTTCGATGCTCCAGGCAGGGATTATCTGGTCAACGAAGCCTGGGAGTCCCCACGACCTGCACATCGCCTCAGCAAAGACAACGTCAAAAAGTAGGTTGGGCGGCCAATCATGAGGTGCGATGCGGAGTCGGCCACCATCAGGCAAGGCTAAAACGTGGAGCTGTGGAAGGTCCTCTGGGGGGTCAAGATCGTGAAGGATGAGGCTATGAGTTTGCAGGAGTGCGGCTGTTGATGTCATCCGATGTCATATATACATTGGGGATCTATGCAAGATGGGCATTAAGGACACCGGAGCGTCATCACAATAATTTCACACATACTGGTAAAAATGCGACCGATAACCCCATGAACGGCGGAATCAGTACGAATAAAACAGGCCATTCCGCAAGTCGTCTACGTCCCGGATAATTTGAGGATTTGGGTAGTTTAAAGATCGTAAAGTGGTAAGCTTTTCAATGTACTTAAATAGGGCGTGACAAGGTGGTTCACGAATCATGAGCCATTGATAGAATGACGACACATACTTTATTGCCGTTGTTGACATCTATGAGGTGAGCTGCTTCACACAAGTCACTTCGCAAGTGGCTGACGATGCACGTGCCGCCATCCCTCTCAGCCACTCCATTCTTGAATTTTTCAGTGGGGGTCGGAGTGTCCCGACCATCAATCGGACGGATAGGATTGATAGGGAATGTGTAAGGTCGTTGATCTTCTTGAACATGATAGTAAACATGGAGGTCTGGGGTGTCATCGGATAGGGTTGGAGAGTTGTATGCGACGGGGTTGACTGGATATTGCGACGAAAGAGATAACTCCCCGCGAGCACCCGTTGTGGCGAAGCACATATACCGAATAAGTGCGTAGGGATGCAATGACCAGGGAAGTATACGTGCAACAAGGACACGAAAGGAAAGCACCCATCGCAAATTTGGCTCATCCTGAAGCTTTGGAAGAGATAAATGGATATACACGAAGTCAGTCATGGTCGGTGCAGGATTCAAGGCTCCTAAAACTGGGGTTGAATTTGGATGCTGATGTGATATTCGGGGCGCCGCAACTTGCCGCACCACTAACGTATCAAATCTCATTGCCGGACACCATGGCACGTGATACAGAACCAGTGATGACTGCACCATTGCGCTTCAAAGAATCGAGAAAATGGGAGAAATGCGGACCCACAAATGGTTCGAGGAGGCGTTGAAAGCGGCGAGGTATAACTTCAGAAGCCAAATCTCTGAGAGCGTGACAAGTGCCACCGATTGCATGGAGATCAGATATCATCAACATCTCCAGAATGATGGTGGTGACATCGCGGGTCTTAGCAACTGGGACAAGAATGAGTACAAGGACAGGAGATCAACACAGTTCTTACAATGGTCGGGTCGAGCCATAAGAAAGAGGACTGATGGGAACTCCCAATGCAAATAGTATCACTAAATAATTGCAGGTGGGGCGGGACTATGAAGGAAGATGACTTCAGTGACAAGACGCGGTGGTGAATAGCTTGGCATGTCTCACTTCACATTTAGGGAAACGCACGGGTACGGGTAACACCGCGGTTCTATGCTGACGGGTTTGGAGGGTACGGGTACGGAGTAGGATAGTCGTACCCTTGAGCATACCGTGGCCATTCACCGCGGGTTGACGGTGTTTGGGCGGGTATAATATACCAAATCGGGAACCAGGCGCGCGACAGCCATTGAACACCGTGTTTGATTCTCTGTTTTTCCTTCCTCTGAGAGCTTGAGGATCACAAGTGAATGCTATACTGATTTCTGTCATGTCTTTTGTACCCCCGTGAATCATTCTAGCAATTTATTGAGCTGACACTTCGTTGCAGAGAAGCTCGAGTCACTACCATAAAGCCAAGGCAAAAACTCGAGACCAGTAAGTCCACTGAGTCGTCTCCCCATGAAAACTAAGCTCACAAAGAAGGCATCTGATGCTTCGTCTACCCAGTCACACTCATCATCTAAGTCTATCTCGTCGTCCATCTCCGAGAAGGCCAGGTCACTCAAAAAGGCTGTTGCAAAGGGTGCTAAGGCTCTGGCCCGCCCCTTGAAGAAGGTCAAGCAGTCATTTGTGTCTCGGTCTTCTCGATCGAGCCCCACAGACACCGTTGATCTTACGCGATCAAGTACTGATTCACTTGCCACTGACGATAACAAATCAACGGCAGGTGCATTCGAGCCTGATCCCGATCCTTCTGCAGATCTTGGTATGTTTCTTTCCATTGATTTTTGCAAATATCTGATTATACAATGATACAGAGGCTCTCAAGAAGACTTGGCGGTCACCTATCTATAGTTTCTTTTCATCCGAAGTTGTGGTCCAACACCACAATGGCCGCTTGTGTCATTTTTTCCCGTGTGGTGCGCGTAAGGCAACATTTAATTTTGCACTGACACTGACAACTATACAGAACGAGGATGACTTTGGTGACTACTCACTTGGTTCCATGTCTCGTACTACTAGTAGCGAGTTGGATGAGTTTCTTCGATTACCAACTGTGAAAACCAAGGACCCACTCGCATGGTGGCAAAACAACTGCCGTGCTTATCCAATGCTGCATCGGATGGCACTCGACTATCTCTCTGTCCCAGGTATGTCTCCTTCGAATCCTCTTTCAATCAATCAATACTTATTATCTTGCTCAGCAACATCAACTGCGGTTGAACGTGTCTTCTCGCAGGGCCGGCAGCTCCTTCATTTTACTCGCAACCGACTCGCACCATCAACAATTCGTGCCTTTCTCTGCCTCGGAGCGTGGGGCAGAAGTGATCTTCTGGTGATGGAGGACCTTTTAGCCGCTGTCAGGACTCAAAAACGGAAGCGAAATGAAGTCGAAGCAGAGGAGAATGACAAGGAAAAGTAGTACTATTTTATTTCATTGTTGTTAATACTTAATACACTCTTCTTGGTAATGTACCCGCGGTGTTCAGAGACACCGCGGTGTTTTCCATAAACCGCGACATTGACGGGTCGGTGTGTACCCGTACCCGTGAAGGGTACGGTGTTGGCGGGTGCGGGTGCGGTGTCAACTTTCCGACCCTCGGTGTTACCCGTGCGGTACCCTATTCACATTTCATGACAACAGTTGAAAAATGGAGAACTCAGAAATGGAAGCATGTTAGTGGAATTGATATATTTCATGGGCATTGAAGCAGTGATATAGAATCGTGTGGCCAATGAAAGATTAGTGGGATTCAAAGTAAAATTTTGAATATTCAAGAAACACGCTGAAAGCGCGTTGAAACGTGTTTGAAAGAATTGCGAAATTTTTCAAAGTGTGAATTTAAACTCCGCTTGATTACCTTAGCCACGCATGCAAGTCGACGATTAGGGGTTAGGGTTAGACGCAATGCCTCGAACATCCGTGCGTCAAGACCTCTTACACCAGCTAGACGCTGCTTCGCTGCAAGTTGCATTGGCTCATATAGAGCATGCTAGACGTAATACAGAAGATTCTGAATCATCCGGCTCTGATAGCTCAATCCTAAGTCCTATGATTATATCTCCAATATCTCCTCTATCAGATATGTCTGACGGTTCAACTAACTCAAGTACCGACTCCTCCGATATCAATCTACACTTTTCTGCGCCTTTTGGGAGATATTGTAGCGCTTCGTGATGAAATAGAGAGAGCACGAATCCTCCATCGCCCTGACGAGCCCCCCATGCGTGCGCCGCAGATTCAGCTCTTACCTCATTTTGCTGCCCATCGCCCAGATCTCTTTCGCCAGAAATTGCGTGTATACCCTGACGTTTTTCGATGACATCCTCGACTATATCAGCGATAGTCCCATTTTCCAAAACCACTCGAACAACCGTCAGCTTCCCATCACCTTACAGCTTGCAATATTTCTAAATTGTGCAGGTCACTACGGCAATGCGATAGCTAACGAATATGTCTGCCAATGGGCGGGGTGTTAGCGTCAGATCAGTTACTAACTGCACCAATCGTGTCATGATCGCTCTACTCGAGCATCATGATGAATTCATCTTCTTCCCAAGTCTCACTTCGAATGACGCTGCTTGTGCCCGAGACTATGTCTTGAAGATCTGCCCACAATGGCGTAACAGTATCTTTGCTACGGATGGCTCTATGGTTAACCTCTGCTATAAGCCGGGGCTCTTCGGAGACACGTTTTACAACCGCAAGTCCGATTTCTCCCTCAATTGCCAGGTATGTCATTTTTCTTCTCAAATTTCAACTGATAGACCTCTTATAGGTAGTGGTAATGCCTCATAACCTCCTTATAGTGGATTATTCAATCGGCCACGTTGGTAGCGCACACGACGCATATGCTTTCCACTCAACACGCGTTTTTCAAGAGCATGAGATGCTCCTTGGAGACGAGCACTGGATCTGGGCCGATAGCCGCTTACCCTTTGGAGACCTGGTGCATCGTGCCATTTCAAGAAGCCGCGCAATGGTGCACTGAAGTGGGAGCAAAAAAAATTCAACTTTAATCTGTCTACGGTACATGTATTATTTTTTTTTCGTTGCGTGTACTTACTAATTTTTGGACTTAGGTCCGTGTTCGTATCGAGCATGCCTTTGCGGCGCTCAAAGGCCGTTTTCAGTCCCTCCGTGAGCTTCGGACATCCAATACAGGACCGAGAAGCACCTCGAGTACACTTCACACTGGATCATTGTGCTGCTTGATCCTCCATAATATGGTCATCCGGTTCGAGGAACGGCGTTGCATTGACACTACAGATTGGGCCAGGAGGCAGGATGGGTCTGTAGAGGAGCAGGAGGAGGAGGATGTTGGCGAGGACGGAGCCGGCGATACGACATACGCAGGAACTCCTGGACAGGTGTCTCGCAGTCGGTTGATGGACCACTTGCTTGTCACACTTGAGAGGCGGAGGCAGGCAGAGCAGGAGCAGACAAGGCGCAACAGGTAACAGTAGGGACATATACAACATGTAAAGCATGGACATACAACAATGAGATTAGGAATGCGCATATCAACGTGACGCGAATGAAAGACAAATGTATTATGAATTAAGTGGATGAGGAACCCCCCTTTGACAAAGACGCTTCTTTCAGGTTGATCAACTCGATTTCAAGGTGAAGGGCAGCCGCCTTCTCAGACTGAACTTTGGCCTGTGCTTCGAGAAGACAAAGCTCGAGTGCCTTTGCCTCCTGTGACCGTGCGTGCACTGAAGCAGCTTCATCACGCTCTATTGCACCCTGGTCTCGTTGGAATTGGAGCTCGCGCTCTTGGCGGAGAGCATTGACTTTGGCAATTTTATACTCAGAGGAAGCTGCCTTTGCAGAGTAGATGTAACTCATATCGTCAGTGAGAGACCCCACCTGGTCAAGCACATCTGACGTTCCCGATTGAACGCGCCCTGAAAGGTTGCGCTTGTGCTGAGTTTGTCGGCGTGAGGGCTGTGAGTCTACACGGGACAATGAAGAGAACGTCCGTGCAGATGAGCTGGGGGTATTGGATGATGAGGATGCCATAGATGCTGGCTTTTTTGCACGAGGGGGGCCACGATTCATGGCACGACTGACATGAGACTTGCCAGTGAAAGCCGCTTCACGGCGATCATACTCAGAGGCATGATTTAATGGCTTGAAGGTAGGGGGGGTGAGGGGGACGTTTGGTATGGGCGTTTGCTGCTTAGACGCCGCCGAGTATCGCTCTGATCCCCATAGTTATCTTCCTCCATCTCCAAGTCCTCAGCGCCACCATCCCAATTTCCCTCACCCATTGTGTAGTCCAACTCTTCAGGCACAGGGTCGTAGTCGTTATATGTAGGGTCATAGGCCTCAGTAAAGGTGGCAGGTGGGGCGCTGTCAGCAGGAGGGTTGCGTATGTTAGAGGTGGTAGCACGAGGAGCGTCATCATCCACGATGTCATCAGGATCAAAATCTAAAGCCCTCTCTTTCCCCTTTGGTTGTGAGCGTACCACAGAGCTAGAGGCAATCAGTTTGGTTTTAGGTTGGGTGAGCGTGTGGAGGCCACCAGCACAATCTTTGCCAGGAACAGAGGAGAAGGTCTTTGGAGAAAAGGCAGGGTTGTCCTTCCACAATGCATCAAGGTCTTTGAACCACGGAAATTCAGATGCTACTTGCACTGTGATTTTTCTAGTTTGATAAGATAATTTAAATAATTTAAAACAAAACTTACCTCGGAGATTTACTTTAGCCTGAGGGTCAAGAGGGTTGACGCCAGCACCAGTCATCCCAAACCGAGCAATTGCAGCCT